CTTGTCGGCCGGCGCTCCAGCTGCGTCATCAGCTGTCACATCCCTCTCAGGGGCCTCGTTCTTCTCATCCCTTTTAGATCTCTTCTTCCTCTCGTGTTCTTCTAATCTGCTCTTGCCTTCCTCATCTTGTTGCATCCTGGCTCTGCATGCTTCCGCGTGTGGCAACACGGTAGATTGGCCCAGCAAAATGCATGTGCATCCTGGGCACCCATCTGTAGGCGTGTACTTCTCGACGCCTGCCTTCCGGATGTAGATCCTCTTCTGCATAGGTGGCGCCATGACATGAACTGCCGGTGGCACCTCCATCCTTGGCTCTCCAACCAAGACAACGGCTTCTCCAGCCGCTCCGGCACGTGGCGTGCCCGGTGACCTTCGTGCAGTCACCTCCCATGGCAGCCCTCGTAGGGCATCCCAACCGTCGGCGACCCAACGGTCACAGTCCGCCAGTCTTCGGACTCCAGTGCCTCTCTTGACACCATCTGCTGTGATCACCAAAAGTGATCCGGTACGACCATGGTGGCCGATGTACCGGCCTTCCTTAAGATGTCGTACTCCTTCTCCTACCTCACGGTAGTATAACTTCTCGCCTATAGCGATCGCTGGCTTTCGCCAGTTCTTACCACAACGCCTATGTTCAGGCGTGCGGCCGTCCGGTCCTTTGCGGTACCGGCACATCAGGTCTGCCGCATGCCGCGGAAGCCATGCCATCCTCACGTAGAACCTTGCCCATCGTCTCTTCTAAAGAAGACCTCAAGACTCTTACCTGCCTCTTGACCTCACGGACTGCATTTTCCGCAAGTCCGTTGCTCCGGCGGTCACCCACCGGGGACTCCTGTGGAACGTTTTCCACTCCAGCCTCACGGGCTGCCTGCTCCTTAAGAGCAACAATCGAATGCTCACCATCGCTCATCATAACCGCTCTCCGATAGCCTAAGTGCTTCAGAAAGTTGGCAAAGAACTTCACGGCATAGGGTGTAGGGCCCTTTGCATCCACAAAAGTGGCTGCCACGGACAACGTCCGGCTGTCTTTGATCACCAAGATAGGCTTGGCTCTTCCATCTTCCTTGCCATCTGTAGTCATGAAGGTGTAGTCGCTCGCGATGATGGGTAAACCGTCATCTCTCTTACTCTCCTCATCTCGAGACCTGTGTTGCTGACCCAGGCCTCTCCCGGCAACGCAACGCCGGCACCAAGTCCTGTACTGAACATGGCCTGTGGACTCATGCTCGTCCACCTCCGCCCTTGTCGGGTTCGCTGGTGCGTGCACCAACGCAGGCGGTGCAATCTCCTCACTCTCCTCTTCTCTCTCACGAACACCCTCAGGTCGGCCCTCAGGTGCTCCCATGTCCTCATCTCCTCGTCCGGCGGGCACGGCATCATCTGCCGCTGCCATGGCTTGGGCCGGACGGCTGCCGCCCAAAACCCTGAGTAGGTGCCTTCGCCTTCAGGTAGAAGTTGTAGACACCCTTCTCCTGGTACACCGGAATCCATGCCTTCGCATGGTGCTTGTTCTTCTCCTTCTCAATGAGCTCCAAGATCTTGCCAGAAACCTTGGAGTCCTGCGGGATCAGATTCCCGCCATGCTCGTCTAGCACCGCAACTCTGCCGTGCTTCAAGCATTTGTAGGCCGAGACCAAGGGTTTGTGCACCGGAGCCAACGGGCCTGTGACACTACAGCAGTGCCCAAACTCTCCGGTTCCTTTGAACACACCCGTACCACGGACCAGCTCACCTGAGGCCGTCTTGAACATAACCTCAGTTCCTTCCTTGACCGGCACTTTGTCTGCCCAGTCTGATGGGATTGCTGTCTGGGCTGCACCGGTGTCCAAATTGAAGCGGACCCATTCCATAGCCTGGAGATCCTCTCCAGCTGTAAGTGCACCCAGTTCAAACATACCCACATCGAGCTCTCCTTCGGGTTGTTCTTCTTCATGGGCTCCCTCACCTGTGTCCTCTTCCAGTGAGTTCGCTCCTTTGTGCTTACCCTTGCTCTTGCCTTTCTTTCCACCTCCTTTTGAGCCTTTGCTTGAGCCTTTGTTTGAGCCATCCTTCTTTTTACTCCAGCACTCCGCAGCTTTATGCCCGGCTTTACCGCAGTTAAAGCAAACTATGTCCTTGGAAGTTGAACCTTTTCCCCCACTGCCCTTGTCTTTACCTTTGCCCTTACTTTTGCCCTTTCCACCGGATCCCTTGCCTTTGACCAAGCTGTTGATGACCTTTGTGAGGCTGTCCACGTCCATAGGCGCCGGACCGCTGTCCGATGAGGATGCTGCGCCAGGGCGTGAAATCGGTGCCTTACTTCCCAAAGAGGATTCAATCACAAGGTCGATTTCTGATTTCATCTGTGCGTAGGTTGTGAGGCGTCCTTTGTTCAACAAAAGGTGGCGTTCAATGTCTGAGGGTGCAAGCAACTCCAAGCTGGTCGCCTATATGTCTTCTGACAGGCGTTCTCTCTCACCAGCTTCATTCTTGCGATTTTCATATCGCCTGAAAAGGTCTTCGAGTTGCTCTATCGCAGCCCTCACATTTTCCCACCGTTTCATACGTTCTGGGTTCAATATCGTCCGGCGGTTAAGGGATCCCACCGGCGGTGGATTCTTCTCCACGCTTCGAACCCATTAGAACAGCCTATTACCAAGTCCTCAGTCTCTCCATGGGTTAAGGAAGAAAGCAAACGAAACAATTGGTCCCCTATGTCTGGTAAACCGGACACCCCGTCCGGCTCCCCATGCGCGGCCTCGACTTCGTCCACAGTGATGTCGTCGGGCCCATCCTGATCGAGGCACCAATCCAATACTTTCTCAAACTCCTTCCCAAAGATGCTGACAACAAGGTTTGTGACTGAACGCACCCACTTCCGGAACGTATGCTCTTCATTATTGAACCGTTCCGGCTTACCAATCCCCTTTGTGTCAACCAACAGCTTCCTGAGCTCCCGGTGGCTTCTGCTTGGGCTTGAGGAACACCGGTGGGCCTTTGCTGCTTTTGGCCACTTCCTCACCCTGCTTTTCCTCGGGCTGCTCCTTGAACTGCAGCTTGGGCTTGGGCTGCAACTTGACCTTTGCTTGCAGGCTTTCCGGATGCTGTCTTAGGCACATGGCGGCTTCTTCGCCGCGGGCTTGGGGTTCACTGCAAGGGCCTTTGATGCAGTGGTGACAGCAGCAGGTGCGATAGGCGTCGCGCCCTTCGCGCCCTTGCCTTGGCTCGCGATGCGCGCCGCACGCTCCAACACCCACGGGTATTGGGCGCGGTGCCTCTCGTCGCACAAGCTGCAAGCCTTTGCTAGGCTGTCACGGGCCAACACCTGGGCCCTGATCGCTGCCTCTACGGCAGCTCCGGCTGTTCCCTGAGCCGGTGATTTACTCTCGGCAAGTTCCTGAGCGATTGCCGCGTTCCTCAGGCGGTAGTTGCTGGCCAATGCAGACTCCGGGGTGGCTTTGCCTGCACGCACTCTGCGCAGTGCTGCCTCTTGCGTGGCTAGCGCCACACTGATCACGCGGCCTGCAGATTTCGCCGCGGCTGCCACCTCCGGCAGCAATGCAATTGGCTCAGCGCCTGGTGCTGCTGCTTCCTCAGCTGCGGCTGCTTTGGCAGTGGGCTCCGTGGTCGGCCTTCTCTTACGGCGAGTCAACTCCCGCTTCGGCCTTTGCCTTGGACCACCTGGAGGGGACTTTGGCTGCACGTTCCTGCCAAAGCCTTTGGGGACAGGCACCTCGTAGCCGTACTCTTCCTTGAACTTATCGAGGGCTTCCTGGACTGCAGGCGGGATCGGGTTGTTGCGCTTCAAGTTCAACTTGACCAAGCCCCGCAAGAACCGGTAGGACCTCGCCTCCTTGGACCGGCGCCCGTCCTTCCACTTACCGGCTGAGTTCTCCTTCACGCGGGCAAGGCGCCTTGCTCTTCTTCTTCTTCTCGCCCTTCTTGCCTTTGCCCTTTCCTTTGCCTGCTTCCTCAGCTGCTGCTTCTGCTGCTGGTGCTGGTGCTGTGCTACTGGCAGCCTCCGGATGCGATGAGGACGGGGCTGCCAGGGCGATCAAAGGAGATCGCCAGTTGCCCAGGCGTCCGAGTCCGACGCTGAAGCCTCCGTGGATCTATTGACGATCCACCCTTTGCGCGGCGGCTTCTTCGGCTCTGGGGGCTTATCCTCTCTCTTCTTTCTCTTCTTTGGTGGCTCCTCTGGCTCCTCCAGCAGCTTAGCTAAGATCCTCTCTCTGCTGGGCAACGCTCTCCTCGTTGGGGGACCAGTCCTAACGTGTCTGAGACTGGCCTCAGGCCAACGACCAGTCGTGCCCCAGCCCCTCAGTTTGGCCCAAGCAGCTCAGCCCAGGCTGGCCACCTTGACCTCCTGCTCGCGTCTGGCCCCAGGCGCAGCCCCAGTCCTGAGGCCCAGCCCAGCCAGCAACTCGCCACCCAGCCTCAGGCCCAAGTGTGTATGAAACAGGCCTTGCCCATCCAGCAACCCGCCCAAGCACAGCTCAGCCCAGCCCGCCCAGCCCAAGTTCCAGGCGCAACCAGCAGCGTAGTCCGGCTGCCCGGCAGCCACCAACCCACCCATGGCTTCGCAGCCTCGTGGCTGAGACTAAACCAGCAACCCGCCTAAGCAAACCCCACCCAAGCCCACCCTGTTTGAGACTCGCAGGCCTCAGCCTATCTAGCGCCGAGACTGGGCCTCACCAGCCTGGGCTCAACTAGCGTCGCGGCTGCCCAGCCCGCCGTAAACTAGCTTCAGGCCCAGCTCAACCAACAACCCACGCAAGCAAGGTCCAGCCACTAGCTTCAGGCCCAGCGCAGGCTTATCTGATGTGTCTGAGACTAGCCTGTGGCCCAGCCCAACCAGCTGTTCGGTGTTCCTGACCCTTCCCTCAAACTAGGCTGGGCCGAGGCGGGCAACGCGAAGCGTTTACAATTACACCTTGGCGTGCGGAGACATAGCTAAGGGAAAACTGGGCATGGTCTCCTCTAACTCTGTCGCCTCCCTCACAAGTTCGAAAGGCATCGGCATAAATCGGCTCCAGCAGTGTGGTGGTATGCACCTCCACACATTGCGCATCATTAAGCTTAACGCGGCCCACTCAGAGCCGGGCCCCAAAGGCCGACAGCACAATCCGGTGAGCTTGGCCACCACGGGGTGAGACGGAAAACGGCGAATGCACAAGCGCCTGACAGCAAGTTGGCTCGACTGGCATCGTGTGGAACAAACTTGGCGCCCGTGCGGCTGTGAGTTGCCTGCGGTACTCATCAAGGTAGCGATTGGAAGCGGAGCCGTTGGAGGCGTTGGAGCCCGTCCTGCATCTCTCAGCCGAAACTTTCCATCGGCCCGAGCAGCTGCCTCTGACCCGAGAACAGGCCCAATGGAGCAAGCCTTAGAAAGCAAGCTTCACAGCACCGTCACTTGACGCGCCTTCCGCGAAACCATTTACCAAGCGCCGTTCGCCGTTCTGAGGGGGATCCGCGAAGCATATTTCCAGAAGTAAGTTTCGCCTGGACTTTGTAGAGGGCTGCCTCCGAAGGACTTTGCACATTTAGGAGCACTTTGCTCGGAAACCAGCATGGACGAAACCAAACGGCTAGGCGCAGCTTGCAGCTCTTTTGGCTTCATTGGGCTGCAACGCGGGTGCTACTCGGAGGAAAACGCGGATGAAGAAGTGAGCCGCTGCTTCAAAAAAAGGCAAATTCTGAAACACCTGCCTTCGCGTCTTCCGCGTTGTTTTTTCCGGCTCAATTGCATCGTCTTCAATTGCTAATAGAAGGGGGCGATGTGGAAGCCTGCGTTTTTCACAAACTAAAGTTTGTGGGATTTTCAGACACATATGTTTGAAAAGCAAACATCTATGGCCTCCACAGCGCCTCCCAAAAAATTCAGTACAAACGGATGGGCATTGTGGATTCCAGGCAAAATGTAGATTTTGCGTTACATCTTCTAGAGTCAACATGTAGAAGGAGAGAAGGGGAGCTGCGACCTGTCACAATATTTCGTCACGCAGGACAGTTCAGCTTTGGAAGCAGTCGCCAGAACGCGTTCACTACAGACTTATGTGGGGAGGGCCTCTGCCGCAAGAGCTTGCAGCGGTCCATCGCCAGGGGGTTCTGCTACATCTACGCTGACAAGTGCGGCACCTTGTTCGCTCAAGGGGGGTGTGGATAAAAAACGGAAGCATATTTCCAGTTTTTTTCTTTTCCACCCCCCTTTTCCCCGAGCCCCCAGACTCAGCCCAGGATCACCGGGGCCCAGTAGGTTATCCAGGATTTGGGTCGCCTTTAGCTTTTGCTCCCCCCACCAGTTCTTGGCCCCTATTTGCAAAGTTCTAGGATGTCCTGTTTCTTGCAGAACTTCCTTAAAACTTACTTTGATTCTCTTGCTTAGGCCTGAACTTGTATGATAGGCCACTATATTTACAAAGCGAGATGTGCATTCAAACAACTCGTGCGCTTAGCGTTTGCTGCTTGAGCATTAATTAGCAAGAGTAGCACCATATGACAAACCTCTGGTGCCACTGATGATGCAAGGGTTGCACTCGGGCTATGGCTCCAGAAAGGCAACTTCTATGCACTTTGCTTGTGGGCCGATTTGCGCGTAGTATGCTCATCCTTGTGCGTCACGCTCCCCATGGCAATTCAATAGGGTAGAATAGGATAGAACATGTTTGCGCAAAGTGGCCTTGACGTGCAACTACACTTGTCATAGGTTCGGCCGAAATGCAGCAGTGTCATCAAGCTGCCAGCTAGGTCAACATGAAGAGTCTACCACGCACCAGAAATGGAGTGAAACATGATTGCTCCATCAAGTTTCTTTCCTGTAGCGCAGGCAGGGTTTTGCGGCTGACCATGAGATCTGCTTATCAGAAATTGTTTGATGATCTGTGGAGGGTAAGTGGAATAAGTCATCCCGTTACCCCCTCCCATACCATCTGATTGTGACAAGTATCAGGACATGTGAGGGGGCCAACTCCAAGTGGCCCCTGGTTGGGTGCTAGCAGGCTTCTTGGAGGACAGGGCGGTGAAAGCCCTCTAGCTCCCACGCAAACTAGTTGACATAGCATGTCAAAAAACATTTGGCCATGGGTCAAAAGCCCCCCAGTGAACATCCCAATCCCTACTAAAATGAACTGGAATAACTGGCGCATACAACGAAATGGTAGCATTGGTTTTGACCCGCAGGTACCCACAGCCATACTCCCTCCTTTTTTTGGTACCGCATTCTCTGAGGGCCATGCTTGCCTGTGAAAGAAGGGGCAGTCATTTTTGTGAGCGGCTTGCTTTTTCCTTTGGGTGCAATCCAGCAGGTAGCGGGATGCCCTTGTCAGATCCTTGTATGCTGGAAGCAGCATCTTGGATTTCCACATTGCCTGACTGTAGCTCGCAAGGGGTTGGTGGGATGAAGTCACGAGGTCCTTCCCCCGCTTCCTTGTGAATCCTTCCCTTACTTCCTGGTGAATGAGAGGCAGTGGATGAGGAAATGTGAGGAGGCAGACCTGCAAGTGTGGGCAGCGTTGCTTTCTAAATCATCAGGAATGGGTCCTCCAGCTCCTATGCAAACTGGAGAATGGCTGGTATGGCTGGAGGTAAAAGATCTTCCTACTTGCCCCCTCCAGAATTCACCCGGTCAGTGTAAGGCTTATGCTCACCGAACAACAATGGAACACTGAAATACTCTGCACTACATGAAACATTGTTTTCATGAAAACACAAACTTCACTTAAAACGCAGGCCCCTACAGCGTCCCACGCCCAGTAGGGCGGCAGGACTTGCCTGGTAGGGCAGTGCTAGGCCAACAAAGGGGGGTGGCGCCAGTGGAGTGCGGCGGCAGCACCTGTCACCAAAGGAGGATAGCGCTCGCCCAGTAGGGCGGCGTCACTGTCCAGGGATGTGAAAAAACACAAACAACAACCGAGAAAAGACAACACACAAACGAACAGAACAAAAAAGTCACGGGGTGGTCCGCCCAACACTAAGGGGGAGGGCGGCCAAATCCCTCCCCCGGGCGCCCCTGAGCCTACCGACAAGTGTCGGCCCGTGACGCGGCTCGGGGCATATATCCCTAGCACTTTGCTGCAGTGCCATCTCAGCGGGGGCCTATTTATTTTTTATTTTCTTTTTTTGTGACACGGTCAGCTGCACGAGCGTCCAGCTATGTGCGCGACTTGCCACAGAGCGGGCGCATTATGCACTGGGACCCGTACGAAAACCGTACATGTTGCGTAGTTTGATCGTGGAAAGGCGTACGTTTTGTGCTGATCCAAGCTTGACGCATATCCTGCGCCCTTCGGGCACTATTGTTCGCGCAAAATGGCTTGAATGCACATTTGCCCTGAGTTCTTTCCACACGCTGCTCTTTCTTCTTCAGTTTAGACAGGTTTAAGGGCCGAACGTGAAAGGGACACTTGCCCCTACGCAAAGACAATGAGGCCCAGCTCAAGACTTCGAGGTCCATGTCGGCATACTATACGGCTGCTATGCGACCAGCAAGCAAAAGCAGCAACTTTTTGAAAGTTGTAGGTGTTTCAATGAAAAGCTGCTTCAAGTTGCTTTTCAGCAACTATGATTTCCAGGAATGTGACTCACGCCTTGCATTTGTGCAGCTTGTCGCGCTCGTCAAAGCAAACACAATCGCACATATCTCAAAGCATGATTTATTTCTCTGAAAATTGGGAGAAAAGTCCCCTGCGTGAGATTCGGCACGAGCAGGACACTTGACTACCGACTTAGCCCACAGCAAGCCGTCCCACTTCGAGTCCGAATGGAAGTTCCAAGGCCTTGGCAAAACATGGGCACGCTATGGGACAAGCTGCAAGCCGGATATGGCGCCAACCACCACCTCAATCGCTCACCCTCCAAACTTTTCGCGAGTCACTACGAGCCTTCCACCCATGGAAAGGCACTGAAGCGCTTCCTCCAGCAGTTGGCCCCTCTTTCGCCTCGTCCCTCAGCTCGAGGCGATTGGCAATATGGCGTGCGTGCCCGAGGTCCAGGCGGGAGCGCCACGAAGCCGCCCGGGCCGCCACCGCAAAGCCTGGACCAAACTCGAAAACCAAAAAGCCGAACGCCTGCGTGGCCGTAAGGACAAAATCCCTTCAGGTCCATGACGGAAGCCTCAAGGAGCTATAATTCAGCTGACTTCTAGCACTTTCACTGCACCTCCCCCAGCAAGATTTCGGGCAGCTGCTCACCTGAAGTGCAAATCTGCATAACCTCTGACTCTCAAGCTCACTCTGGGCTGCCCTCTGCGCCCACCCTGTCAGACTGAACTTGAGGTGCTTCTTAGTCACCCCTCAGTCTCTGCTGCAAAGTGGCATGAGGCGCTTCGATTCCGCCACCTGCACCAACGCTGCCTGCAAGCGCCTACAAGCCTGCCCTGCCACCCTCGCCTTGCGACCAGCACGGAGCCCAGCACGGCTGCTTCCCGGCGCCGCTTCAGAGAACTCAGAGGCAACAATGAGGCGAACTGAGGCAAACTGAGGCAACATGCAAGTCCATCATCTTACTTCCCTGTCCCCAAAGTGGCCTATGCAGCCGGCTCCAGTCAGGATGAAATCCTGGCCGCCCACTTTGCGTATCACTTGCTTACACCAAGACTACGATCGATTGGAGAGCTTCTGAGACCGCTGTCCTCGGCCTTCGCAGTTCAGCACCTGCTGCAGCGTGAGGCTCACCATGCAGGCCTAACAGGACAGAGGACACAAATTGAACCCAAATTGGACGCTATTTGAACGCAAATTGACAGAAGATTGAAAGATATTGAAAGAAAAGGGCGCAAAGGGCACGAAGTGCAAAGCCACAAAGCCACTCAGCTGCAGGCGCGTCTTGCGCACGCGGGGGTCACGTCTTGCCATGGCCACGGGCGATCGGAGGCGCAAACTGGCAGGTGACGAGCAACGTGCAACGACTTGTGGCATGCAGGCTACTCACAAATTCATAGTGAATCGACTCAAGCATGAGTCTGCTCAGCTGAAAGCAGCTGCAGCAAGAGAGGCATGACATGGCATGACATGTTTCACCAAGCAGGCAACATTCACAGGCTGTTGGGCACACAGCGTGAGCGACCGTTAACCCATGCAAATCAAGAGCAATCCAGGCCATGGGCGCTTTGAAGTCAAAGCTTCAAGCGGAGCTTGCGGAGCTTGGCACGGCGCTTGGCGCTTGCCTGGCAATTTGGCGCTTGCTCCTGCCCGGCCGCCTGCCCGGCTTGCCAATCTGCAAGCGCTCTACGTCAGCGTGGACTCCTTCCACAGCTGCCAGCTGCCCACGGCCAGAATGAAGACAGCAAATGCTCGTCGCAGAACACTCTGCGGCAGCCAGTCAGCCATGAAGCCGCCAGCAAAGCTTCCAACAATTGCACTGCATGAGACCAAGGCAGTGAGTTGTACATTAATGTGAGTGTGGCTGGCATGTCCGAGGTATCCGGCAAAACACTTCATGCAAATCACCATGAGCGAAGTTCCAACGGCCTCGGACATCTTCAGGCCGCCCAGGAACACAAGAGCGGGTACCACCAGAAATCCGCCACCGGCGCCTACCATTCCTGTTGCTATGCCCACTACGAAGCCATCCAAGAGGATTCTCCAAAGTGGATGGCCTTCTGAATCCTCCTCCTTTCTTAGCTCTTGCTCATTCGAGTGCTGAGCGATGGGCTGGTAATTAGATTGGGGCTGTTTGCACAACATGGCAGTGGCAGTGGCAAGAGTCATCAGGGCAAATGCGCACATCAGCACATGCGCCGAAATGTAGCCTGCCAGAATCCCACCAAGGAAGGCTCCAGCCATACCAGCAAGTCCAAACAAGCCACCCGTCCTCCGCTCGATGTTGCCTGCTTGCACGTGGGGAATCATGGCGAAGCCACTCGTGATCCCCACAACGACCAGTGACATTGCGATCGCCTCCTTGGCATTGACCTTCAGGAGGTACACCAGAATAGGCACGGTGAGGATTGACCCACCACTCCCAAGCAAGCCCAAAGACATACCAATCAGGAAGCACAAAAGGATGGCTAAGACCTGCACGTGCTCGAACTCGCCACTTGGCACCATTGCCATACTTGAAATACGACTTAACTTCCGAAGGGCTAGGGGTATCAAGCCAAACCTGCAAACTTAACCAAACCATACCAAGCCTGGTCTGACATGTTCGATGTCTGGCCTATGTCTGCGGATGGCTATCTGCCAAGCTTTATGAGATCGAGGTTGAGCCAGAGCCTTGCGAGCGCCGCGGCAAGCTCCAGGCCCATTTTAACTATAATGGCAGGATATGCCAGGATATGCAAGGATGGGGCCTGTGAGGTTTCTCCGAGGGTTGCCTTGTGTGGTTCCCTTTCAGGCAAAAATGTCCTGCGGAGTGCTGGATTGGGCAAAAAAACAGTGTCTGAAGATTCACACTCCGCTAAAGCAAGTCAAATCGCTGCTTGAGGGGCTGGGCCACCCTTTTTCTGCACTAGAGCAAGTGGATGTTCGATGCCATGGTTGCTCGATTGCTCCCTGTATTTCATCGCTTTTCTGGGCAGCAAGTTGCCGTTTGATATTCAACGCGGGTCTAGAACTTTGACGCATGAAGCCTTACAACAGAACAAGATCGCTTCAAAAGCGGATTTCAAGGTTCAGTAGTCAAGATATGCACGCACGCGTGCGCTATACGTGCATGTCACATGCAGCAAACTATGCCCAGGTGATATCAACAACAGCCACCGGAAATCTTCAAGCGACTGCATGGAAATATCTGGAACCCCGCCGATCCATGCCCCAAACTTGAAACCCGGAGCCCGATCCACGGCTCCAAAAACCCCGCAACCTTCCGCACCCTCGGAGTCCTACAACTTGGGACCCAGAGATACCCAAAGCCTTGAACCGAATATCGAATGAGCAACCTTCCGACAGCGGAACTCTCTGCAACCTCAAAGATCGTCAGAGCTGCGAACCACTCCGGTGCTTTGGCAAAACTGCCCGCTCTCATCCAAATTCACAAAGTGGAACAGAGTGGTTCTTCGGAGTGCGCAAACCTGAAGGGTGGCCCCTTACGGCAAATCGGCATGACCAATAGGGAGAGACGTGTCTGGTGTGACGACAGCTCATGAAGCACTGAATTGTGACCTGGCCCTGTTCAAAAAGCACAATGTGCAAGCGCAGTCCTAGCGCCGTCCTTCGCTCATTTTCCTCAATCCCCACCCTTCGCCAGCCATCGAATCAGGGCCAAGCGATCCGCGGGTGACATGCCCTGGCTATTCACTGGCTGTCGCAGCGCTACAAGCAAATGTGCCATCGCATCCATCTGAGACCCTGGCGCGAATGGCATCCTTCTGCGCCTCAAGGTCTCCCAAGCTTCCTCGGATTTCCGTACGATTGGTCGAACATCGGCCACTGGCAACTTGCGGCACGGTGTCGAAGAAACGAGTTCAGCTCGGCAGGGTCTTTAGCAGCGGCCTCAAGCAGAATGCCGGCTGACAAAGATTCAGTTGATAACCTGAAGCTGCTTCACACGTTACCCCGCACGCCTCATCAATGTCAGGCCAGTATAGCAGGCGGAGCATAGGGAAAGGATTTACCGTCGCGACCTGAGTTAGCTGTGGCTCAGCTGAAGCTTCTAACAAGTATGAGGCCCCCACACTTACGTTGAACATGCCCAAGTTCAATCCGAGCATGTCACCTCGGCGCAATCCCCGTGAGAACAGTTGCCCTGTCCAACATGGCACTCTTTCGCTCCCAAGCCCCAAGGCATGTGCTCGAATGCTTTTGCTTTTCAGAGCTGGGACTCGCACTGTCGCCACGCTTTGCAGGCCAGAGTGCAAAGGCATGGGGGCTTCTGCGAAGGGAGCCCTTGCTGAAGCGAACCGCCACGGCTCCGTCCGTACGCCTGCAGGCGTGGTCCCAGAGCTGTATATAGCGGTCCTGCCAGAAGCGCAGCTTCACCTCGTCACCCAGACGTCGCTCGCCCTCCTCGCTGGGGGTGAAGACGCATGGCAGCTCAGCGGCCACCTCGAGTCGGAAAAAGCTGGGGGTTCGGTCCAGGACTTCCGGGATCAACACCTGCGGAGCGGTCTCCTCAACCTCTGCAACGAGGGCAACGGGGGCAGCGGGGGCAGCGGGAGCAACGGGGGCAACGGGGGCAACGGGAGCAGGTGCAGACTTGCGCTTCTCGGCGAGCTGCAGCATGTCCTCCAAGGACAGGCCAGACTCGAAGTCCGCAGCTCGTGGAATTCGCGAAAAGCAGGGGCAAGAGAAGGTCAAAGCTGACGCCAGAAGAATGCACCGCCATTTGTGGTCATGCCGAAGCTGCCTCCCCATCTGTCTTGACACGGGTCAAGGGGTCGCAAATGATCAGTCGGAGCTAGCTGGAACTAGTGTTCAGCCTCGACTAAAAGGACATGGCTTTAAATTTGCAGCAATGCCCAGATTCTTCTTTGCAACGCATAAACTTGGACGTGCAAAGTCAACTACATACAGGTCGCAACAAACGGCTAGCTCAGAGCACCAAGAGCATGCACTCAGGACCCTCCGGCTACTGCTGGCCAAGCTGCACACAAACTACATCCACGCATCATTTTCAACGCTGTCCAAAGGTCAACGTGCATATGTGGCATTATACATGAAATGAATCATGGCCTCAGCACCTCGGCTGCTCAGCGTCTCCTCTTGCGGCTGCGGCTGCGAGTGCGCGACGGCTCCTTCCTGTCGCGCTCCTTGCGGTCCTTGTGGTCCTTGTGGTCCTTGTGATCCTTGTGGTCCCTGTTCTCCTTGTGCTCTTTGTGTTCCTTGTGGTCCTTGTCCCTTTCTCGCTCTCCGCGCTCTTTGCGCTCCTTCTTGCGTCCCTCCGTGCCTCCTGCCTCCTCCGTCTCACCATCTCCAAGGGGCAACGGTCCTCCAATCCAGAAGCGCCGCTCAGAGTCACCTAGGCGAAAGACACAGAACTCCCGCGTCAACTTCTTCTTTGGGTCCATTGGCTCTATCGTCTCCATCTTCTTGGTCGTTGATGAAGTGTACCGCTTGGGTGGCTTGCCATCCGAATCTTTCAGGTGGGGATGCAGGGTCATGCTCTCGATGGTCACTGGCCCGTTCACTGATTTCAAGAACCACCTGCTCTTCATGTAGTAAATCGCGGCATGCTCTGGCCTCACGCCCTTGTTGCCGTCATAGACCATGCCATCTACTTCTTGGGACGAACCAAAAACGACGTGGGGCATCTCATCCAGTGGCAAGGATCGGCTGGTGGCATTGGGATCCTTGGCCTCCTCCATGTCGAAGCAGTACAGCATGAAAGAACCTGGGGGCGGTGCCTCACATCTGTCCGGAGGCTTCCAGGGAGGAAGCAAATCTTTGAACTGCTTCTTTTCCTCGCCCGGAGGAGCCTGCACACAGAATGGGACAAGGCAAATCATGGCCTCACAAGACAACCCCCCTTCCCATGTCCCCCTGTCCTTCTTCTTGAATGGCGATGGCCCTGACATGAAGGCGCATTGTGCCAGCGGACCGTATGCCATGGCTGCCCACCCTCCGCCAAAAGGTGCTAGCTAAGCTAGGGCGGCAGCTCAAGCGCTCAAACCCCTGTCATGACTTGAGCCGAGTTCAAGTGACCAGTTCTCTGTGAGTCTGCTGTGTGGTGTGTATGTGTGTGTGTGTGCGTGCTTGCAATCACAATTACACATAGCACACAACACTCACACATTGACACGCACAAGAGACTAATATACACAAACCAACCCGCGTGGGCAGGTGTGCGTTTGTTGTGTGTGTGTGTGGTGTGTTTGTGGTGCTGTGTGCGTGCTATGCTGGTGTGTGCCTTGGCTTGTGCGAGTTGAGTTTCTTTTGTGGGGTATGTGCTGTGTGTAATTGTGATGGTGCGCTTGCATGCTTTTGTGCTTGTGATTGTGTGTGTGTGTGTGTCTGTTTGTGTGTTTGTTGTGTTGTGTGTGTGTGTGTGTGGTGTGTGTGTGTGTCTGTTTGTGCGTGCTTGTGTGCTCGTGTCTACGTGTTGGTGGTCGTGCTTGCGTTTGTGCTTGTGCTTGGGTACATGTCCGTGTGATTGCGTGAATGCTTGTAAGTTTGCTTGTGTGTGCCGTGAGTTTGGGTGGGTGTGGTTGTGCTGTGTGTGTAGTGTGTGTGTGTGACAAACCTGATGGCAAAGGTGCCTTCTGCCTTGCAATTGTCATGCCTGAAGCTCATTGCAAGGAAGGGGGATGGGACATGCATCCGGGAATCCCATCCAGCTGCCCGGATGCATGGGAAGCCTGAGCTGATCACGCAGGCATACCTGCAACTTGCACCAAAAATGCGTGAGATGTGTTATTTCCTTCGCTGCAAGGCGTGAGGCTAAGCCAGAAAACTCTCTGCTGCATGGCATGAGGCTAAGCCAAAACCCTCTTTGAGCCAACTTCCGTTTGAAAGAGCTTCCCCTAAAGATGCGCTTGGCAATCTAGGTTGCCTGCTTGAGCTTGGCCCGACGCGGAAATCGTGGCCATCATCAAAGGCAGCTTGGCAGAAAAATATGGAATCGCAGGATCTTCTCCCGAAATGAAGCAAATCAATTGTCTCTGTGTGTGTGCGTTGCTTGTAGTGTAGTGTAGTGCAGTATAGCGTAGCGCAGCGTAGGGAATATCTTGTCTTGTGTGCGTGGTGCGTGTGATCTGTGTGTGTGTGTGTGCGCGCACGCCTGTACCTTGCATGGTCTTATCATGGTGGTCAGATTCCTTCAGGAACCAGTCCAGGATGCATTTTACACGCATGTCATTTGCTCAAGGTGCTGTCATTTCATACCCGTATGTGCATAAGAACGGCCAAGGTGTGGGCCAGATTAGTCCGCACCGCATCTCTAAATTGGCTACCCTCAGCGTCTCCTCTTGCGGCTGCGGCTGCGAGTGCGCGACGGCTCCTTCCTGTCGCGCTCCTTGCGGTCCTTGTGGTCCTTGTGGTCCTTGTGATCCTTGTGGTCCCTGTTCTCCTTGTGCTCTTTGTGTTCCTTGTGGTCCTTGTCCCTTTCTCGCTCTCCGCGCTCTTTGCGCTCCTTCTTGCGTCCCTCCGTGCCTCCTGCCTCCTCCATCTCACCATCTCCAAGGGGCAACGGTCCTCCAATCCAGAAGCGCCGCTCAGAGTCACCTAGGCGAAAGACACAGAACTCCCGCGTCAACTTCTTCTTTGCGTCCATTGGCTCTATCGTCTCCATCTTCTTGGTCGTTGATGAAGTGTACCGCTTGGGTGGCTTGCCATCCGAATCTTTCAGGTGGGGATGCAGGGTCATGCTCTCGATGGTCACTGGCCCGTTCACTGATTTCAAGAACCACCTGCTCTTCATGTAGTAAATCGCGGCATGCTCTGGCCTCACGCCCTTGTTGCCGTCATAGACCATGCCATCTACTTCTTGGGACGAACCAAAAACGACATGGGGCATCTCATCCAGTGGCAAGGATCGGCTGGTGGCATTGGGATCCTTGGCCTCCTCCATGTCGAAGCAGTACAGCATGAAAGAACCTGGGGGCGGTGCCTCACATCTGTCCGGAGGCTTCCAGGGAGGAAGCAAATCTTTGAACTGCTTCTTTTCCTCGCCCGGAGGAGCCTGCACACAGAATGGGACAAGGCAAATCATGGCCTCACAAGACAACCCCCCTTCCCATGTCCCCCTGTCCTTCTTCTTGAATGGCGATGGCCCTGACATGAAGGCGCATTGTGCCAGCGGACCGTATGCCATGGCTGCCCACCCTCCGCCAAAAGGTGCTAGCTAAGCTAGGGCGGCAGCTAGCGCTCAAACCCCTGTCATGACTTGAGCCGAGTTCAAGTGACCAGTTCTCTGCCGCAATCCTTCCATTCAACACGTTGCAACACCAATATAACGCTCAGTCGTGACACTTTTTGCTGAGCTCGGACCAGGTCCCTGCTTTACACATGGCTTGAGGGGTGGTTCTCTCAAGCCATGTTTGCGTTGAGCTTCTGCTTCAAGCTTTCGATTCTCTTCTTCTGTGCCTTCCATTCGTCCAAACATGCTGCAGCGATTCCGCCGCGGATTGCATCGCGGATTCCGCAACTTCCACTCCCCCAGCCTCAAGCAGCGCTTCCACATCCATCTGGGTATCAACCGGAGCTGGCTTGGCTGGCTTGACTGGCGCCGCGCCGTTCCGCTGATTTGCCATTGCCTGTGCCAACTCGGCGAAATTCCGGATTGCTTCAAATTCCGGATTTCGTTGAGCGCCCCGCTGGATCCTTCTGGCCGATCATCGGCGCAGAGGCCGACCCTTGGCCACAGCTAGCTGTGAGCAAATCATGTCGTGCTTGGGCGAGCCTCCAATTCTGAACTCGGGCTGACTACGAGCTTTTCGATCCCGCCCTGAAACAGTCCATATCCAAAGCTTAACCCCAACCTTAAGGAAGCTTGCTGACAGCCACTTGTCCGGGTCACGTGTGACGCAGGGGGGAAAACCAACTACCAGGAACTACCAAGAAAAGCACAAAAAACGCATCGAACGGTGACAACGCGTCGCACTTTGCGCCTGCCTTGCGGCACGCCCATTCTGGGATCAGGCGAGCTGCGCAACTTGTCGTGATCCCGGCTGCCTGACACATGAGTGTTCATGCGCCGACTGCGGCACGAACCACCATGAAAATCCATGGGGGTGTTGAAGAGCACAGAACCTATATGTTTAATTTTTGCCGGCCACAGTTGTGTACAGGTACCTGTGTGCATTTTGTGTGTCAACCCAGCTGGGGGGTCACATCTGCAAGCAAATCCAAGAACACTGCAAAACTGCATCATTTCAAGCACGTCTTCAGCTCAAGCTTGCCGCATCATGGTGGCATGCGCTTCAAAAGCAAACACGCAAGCCGGCCAATTGTCGCATGGGCAGCCAACATGCTGATACCTCCTGATACCCCGTACTTTGCACCTTGCGGCGCGCCCATTCTGGGATCAGGCGGGCTGCGCGGCTTGTCGTGGTCCTGGCTGCCTGACACGTGGCTGGGTGTGCAAGCAACTGTCAAACTTGCAATGCAGGAAACAAAACGCACATGGCGGCTGTCTCAAAGTCTTTGTTCCCGGAAACGCCATGTTCGCGCAAAAACATAACTTTACCTTTCAAGGGGCAATTTTAACAAACATTCAAAAAAGTACGCGAGGTGCAATTCCGCAGTCCGGCTTGAAAGTCCCAACTTTTCAGTACGATGGTAGCACACTAAGGAAGCTGCGCGCGCGCAGCACAGGAGGGGACCCGTTGGTGCATTCTGCATGCGCTGCCGGCAATACACATGACTCATCATTAAATCTTCCTTTTCGCCAACCGTCCTTGCACAATTTTTGCGAGAAGAAAATCACTTGCGCGACCTCCGTCTCGAAGCTTTCGCGGAGGGCAACACTAGACTTCAAGATACTTTAAGACAAGAAGGTCTTCCCCTCATGCCTGAACATCAGAACCTTTCGGACGACTCGGACCGGCTTGCGCGGAAACAACGCCCTTTGTGGTTGCTCTTGAATCTCTGATTTTGAGACCGCCCCAAAACTGCTTTTGCATTGCTCTTTTCACTGGAGGGATTGCCTGATGTGGCAGTTTTTTGAGTTTAAGGCAAGATGGGTGCGCATGTGGAGAAATTTGCACTGAGGATGCCATGGGATGCCGACTGCTCCCCAGCTCACTTTGGCCCCATCGTGGCAGCGAGCACAATTAATCAAAATTCAAAGGCGAGCGCGTAAGCCAAGCAGTCACTCTGTCACTCTGCAACGCTGCAGGCGTGGCGCATTCCAAAACTTTCCGAAAGCAACAGCTTGAGAGCATAGTGGCAAAGGCACCATGCTGACGCCTCATCGGACTGTGACAACGCGTCGCACTTTGCGCCTGCCTCGCGGCACGCCCATTCTGGGATCAGGCGAGCTGCGCAACTTGTCGTGATCCCGGCTGCCTGACACATGAGTGTTCATGCGCCGACTGCGGCACGAACCACCATGAAAATCCATGGGGATGTTGAAGAGCACAGAACCTATATGTTTAATTTTTGCCGGCCACAGTTGTGTACAGGTACCTGTGTGCATCCTGTGTGTGTCAACCCAGCTGGGGGGTCACATCTGCAAGCAAATCCAAGAACACTGCAAAACTGCATCATTTCAAGCACGTCTTCAGCTCAAGCTTGCCGCATCATGGCGGCATGCGCTTCAAAAGCAAACACGGAAGCCGGCCAATTGTCGCATGGGCAGCCAACATGCTGATACCTCCTGATACCCCGTACTTTGCACCTTGCGGCGCGCCCATTCTGGGATCAGGCGGGCTGCGCGGCTTGTCGTGGTCCTGGCTGCCTGACACGTGGCTGGGTGTGCAAGCAACTGTCAAACTTGCAGTGCAGGAAACAAAACGCACATGGCGGCTGTCTCAAAGTCTTTGTTCCCGGAAACGCCATGTTCGCGCAAAAACATAACTTTACCTTTCAAGGGGCAATTTTAACAAACATTCAAAAAAGTACGCGAGGTGCAATTCCGCAGTCCGGCTTGAAAGTCCCAACTTTTCAGTACGATGGTAGCACACTAAGGAAGCTGCGCGCGCGCAGCACAGGAGGGGACCCGTTGGTGCATTCTGCATGCGCTGCCGGCAATACACATGACTCATCATTAAATCTTCCTTTTCGCCAACCGTCCTTGCACAATTTTTGCGAGAATAAAATCACTTGCGCGACCTCCGTCGCGAAGCTTTCGCGGAGGGCAACACTAGACTTCAAGATACTTTAAGACAAGAAGGTCTTCCCCTCATGCCTGAACATCAGAACCTTTCGGACGACTCGGACCGGCTTGCGCGGAAACAACGCCCTTTGTGGTTGCTCTTGAATCTCTGATTTTGAGACCGCCCCAAAACTGCTTTTGCATTGCTCTTTTCACTGGAGGGATTGCCTGATGTGGCAGTTTTTTGAGTTTAAGGCAAGATGGGTGCGCATGTGGAGAAATTTGCACTGAGGATGCCATGGGATGCCGACTGCTCCCCAGCTCACTTTGGCCCCATCGTGGCAGCGAGCAAAATTAATCAAAATTCAAAGGCGAGCGCGTAAGCCAAGCAGTCACTCTGTCACTCTGCAACGCTGCAGGCGTGGCGCATTCCAAAACTTTCCGAAAGCAACAGCTTGAGAGCATAGTGGCAAAGGCACCATGCTGACGCCTCATCGGACTGTGACAACGCGTCGCACTTTGCGCCTGCCTCGCGGCACGCCCATTCTGGGATCAGGCGAGCTGCGCAACTTGTCGTGATCCCGGCTGCCTGACACATGAGTGTTCATGCGCCGACTGCGGCACGAACCACCATGAAAATCCATGGGGGTGTTGAAGAGCACAGAACCTATATGTTTAATTTTTGCCGGCCACAGTTGTGTACAGGTACCTGTGTGCATCCTGTGTGTCAACCCAGCTGGGGGGTCACATCTGCAAGCAAATCCAAGAACACTGCAAAAACTGCATCATTTCAAGCACGTCTTCAGCTCAAGCTTGCCGCATCATGGCGGCATGCGCTTCAAAAGCAAACACACAAGCCGGCCAATTGTCGCATGGGCAGCCAACATGCTGATACCTCCTGATACCCCGTACTTTGCACCTTGCGGCGCGCCCATTCTGGGATCAGGCGGGCTGCGCGGCTTGTCGTGGTCCTGGCTGCCTGACACGTGGCTGGGTGTGCAAGCAACTGTCAAACTTGCAATGCAGGAAACAAAACGCACATGGCGGCTGTCTCAAAGTCTTTGTTCCCGGAAACGCCATGTTCGCGCAAAAACATAACTTTACCTTTCAAGGGGCAATTTTAACAAACATTCAAAAAAGTACGCGAGGTGCAATTCCGCAGTCCGGCTTGAAAGTCCCAACTTTTCAGTACGATGGTAGCACACTAAGGAAGCTGCGCGCGCGCAGCACAGGAGGGGACCCGTTGGTGCATTCTGCATGCGCTGCCGGCAATACACATGACTCATCATTAAATCTTCCTTTTCGCCAACCGTCCTTGCACAATTTTTGCGAGAAGAAAATCACTTGCGCGACCTCCGTCGCGAAGCTTTCGCGGAGGGCAACACTAGACTTCAAGATACTTTAAGACAAGAAGGTCTTCCCCTCATGCCTGAACATCAGAACCTTTCGGACGACTGGGACCGGCTTGCGCGGAAACAACGCCCTTTGTGGTTGCTCTTGAATCTCTGATTTTGAGACCGCCCCAAAACTGCTTTTGCATTGCTCTTTTCACTGGAGGGATTGCCTGATGTGGCAGTTTTTTGAGCTTAAGGCAAGATGGGTGCGCATGTGGAGAAAATTGCACTGAGGATGCCATGGGATGCCGACTGCTCCCCAGCTCACTTTGGCCCCATCGTGGCAGCGAGCAAAATTAATCAAAATTCAAAGGCGAGCGCGTAAGCCAAGCAGTCACTCTGTCACTCTGCAACGCTGCAGGCGTGGCGCATTCCAAAACTTTCCGAAAGCAACAGCTTGAGAGCATAGTGGCAAAGGCACCATGCTGACGCCTCATCGGACTGTGACAACGCGTCGCACTTTGCGCCTGCCTCGCGGCACGCCCATTCTGGGATCAGGCGAGCTGCGCAACTTGTCGTGATCCCGGCTGCCTGACACATGAGTGTTCATGCGCCGACTGCGGCACGAACCACCATGAAAATCCATGGGGGTGTTGAAGAGCACAGAACCTATATGTTTAATTTTTGCCGGCCACAGTTGTGTAGAGGTACTATATCGGCCAAAATGTGTTGCCCGCGACCGTCCCCGAGACCTCCAAAAAGCGTGGCAGGCGCAGCAAAACGCACTTCCGAGCCCCCCGGGCCCCACCCCAGCTTCATGCTCCATATCCCCTTCATGGAGCGCGGCGACTTTTCCTGGTTATATACGCTATCATCAACACAACCCTAAATCTATACCAGAGAAGCCAGCCTCGGATGCACCAGACAGCCAGCTCCTAGAAATCCTACACCTAAACCCTAAAAACCCTCAAAACCCTAAACCAAAACCCTAAAAACGTAAACCTAAACCCTAAAAAACCTTAAACCTAAACCCTAAAATAACCCTAAAAACCCTGAAAACCCAAAACCCAAGCCCTAAAAATCCTCAGCCTTAACCCTAACAACCCTAAACCTAAGCCCTAACAACCCTAAACCTAAACCCAACAACATAAACCTAAACCTTAAAAATCTTAAACCTAAACCCTAAAAACCCCTAAACCTAAACTCTAAGAACCCTAAACCTGCCAACACAATCATACAGCATAATAAGACCTTGTGGGTGACACGTATGTTTTGTGGGTAAAGGTACAGTACCTGTGTGCATCCTGTGTGTCAACCCAGCTGGGGGGTCACATCTGCAAGCAAATCCAAGAACACTGCAAAACTGCATCATTTCAAGCACGTCTTCAGCTCAAGCTTGCCCCATCATGGCGGCATGCGCTTCAAAAGCAAACACGCAAGCCGGCCAATTGTCGCATGGGCAGCCAACATACTGATACCTCCTGATACCCCGTACTTTGCACCTTGCGGCGCGCCCATTCTGGGATCAGGCGGGCTGCGCGGCTTGTCGTGGTCCCGGCTACCTGCAAAATCGCTAGCCGGCGAGAACCACCCAAGACAATAGCTGGCCTTGGAAACTGCGTGGAGGAGACATGCCCATGGCACCCATCGAGCTCGTCTTGCCCCAAACATCTCCTGCCATTGCCATTCCGCTGGCCGAACGTGCCAAGTGTAACGTTCTGTTGTGGAAATGGCTACTTGACGCTACTTGGGCCTTTGAGGCTCAAATGTTGGCCCCTTTCCGACCGGAGTGTCCTTCAAAGAAGGGAGTGGGGAGCGGCGGGCCAGCCAAGCCAGCGCCAGCTTCCCGGCCTGCACGGCACACATGGCGCACACGGCACAAGGGGCAGCGCCAAAATGGAAACTCCACGCCTCGCATGTGGAACCTGCGTCGTGAAGTGTGCAAACATGTGCAAAACACACAATGTGACAACATATCCTAAATCATCCGAACATCCACTAAGTCGCGGGCTGAGGGCGGTCCGGCAGTGGAGTTGTTGGCAAAGGCTCCGGTGGATGGTATGGCGGCGGAGGTTCTTTGAAGCCTGGCAAAAAGGGTCAGAGTGTAGCCCGGTCGAAGCGCGGGCACTTCTTGTGCCTGCCGGGTCTCTCATGCCTTTGCCAGAGCCCCCGGCCTGCAAAGCGAATGGGATGAAGCGAGTCGAATCGAAATATCTCGAAATATGGCATTCGTTGCCTGCAGTTGGGATGGGCGGACAGGCCGAAAGCCCTGGCACGCAGATGTCTCAAAGCAAAGCGAAATCCTGGTCGCGTCCTCCATCTCGGGCTCGCGGCGTCCGAGCTCACGGTCAAGAGCCTGTGCCACTGGCTCTTCGATCTTAGACTCTTGTGGACGTCGTGCCAAGAGGCATCAACGCGTGGTTGGGAGTGCCACGTGTTCGCGTGCTTCTCCGAACCTTGCTCCATGCAAATGCGCACACACAAGCTACGCTTCAGGCTCCCACTGGTGGGTGCTTTGCCCTCAGGAGCCCTCTCTTTGTCTCGAAGCCAAGTGCTCCCAGCTTGTGACAGCTTCGTGCCTCCAGCTCCAGCGGGACATGTTGAAAATGGAACGCTGGTGATGTGCGCCTTCGACTTTGCGCGAAGGACTCTTCTCGCGGCGCTTGGGCTTTGAGGAAGAGCTGCCTGGGCTGTTCCCACACCCTTCCCCGAATGCCACAGGCTGACTAGCCTCCAGACTGAAATACCGCTCCATCATTCACAGCATCCACCACTGACTGCGTCAGCTCTGTCGTTGTCAAATAGGCACCTGTCTGGGCAATTTGGCCAGGCAACCCCCCAACAAAAAAAACATATAACACGTGTGTGTAATGAAACAAAACAAATGAATAAATGAACAAATACAGAAAGACATAATTACACCAGCATAGACCCCCGACAACAAAAAACAAACAATGATGATTGCACACCAGTACCTCTACCAGCACCACCCGAAGAGCGCCCCAAGCGGCACCCCCAGAGCACCCGGCCGTCAATCTCGCAAAAATGCCGCTTCACCAACACCTCAAAGAGGAGCCCAAACAGCATCCCAAAACAGCACCTGCACCAGCACCCCAAACTCCATGCCCCATAGCACCATGCAATCAATCTAGCAAAAACGCGCCCATGCCGTCACCTGCGTGCCCCGCATTTCAAAATTGCGGCATCCCAAGCAGCACCCCCAATTTAGCACCCAGCCGTCAATCTCGAGAACCCCTATAGCTTTCAGCTATCTGGGGAAATAAGTCTTAAAAAATACCTATAACCAAACTGCAAGCAGGCCACGTCTAATCTCTGTTCCACGCGAGCGTTGGCATGTGGGACAAGCAGCTGCACTTGGTGAGATGTCCCTCTGGCTGCAAATTTGGCAGGTCCAGGGCAAGTGGCCATCTACCGTGGCATTCCTGAGGCCGGCAAAAGCACAGGCTGCAAAGAGTGACTGGGCCTCTTGCGGCAGTGGCGCACTACCACTGTAGATCGTGGAACGGGTTGCTCAGGGCTCAGTTCATCAACCCAGGTCGCCCGCAGCCCAGTCCTGCCAACTTACAAACTTCATCCTGCGAAAACGAGCTACCAAAGGCCATGTCTCAACGTCCCTCAACGTCCTAACGGTGCCAGGGCTGGCAAGCATCTGCCTTGGGCGTGGCCGCTGTGAGCCCAAACCGCAACGCCAAGGCGGATGCGCAGGCGGCTTGCGCGCCAAGCCTGGCAACATCTGGCGCGCGAAACTGACATAAACGAACAAGACATCCTGGTGCCTTGTAAGAAGACTTGTTGGGCGGTATGTTGCCCGATGACTGGTCCATATCGGTTGCATTTCTGCTGGCTTTGTTTCATAACAAACAAAAGTGAATGGTCAGCGGCCAGATCTAGCCACCAGGCGCTTCTGAAAATGCCATCAGAACAAATCCCCGCGCTGTCCCTTGGCCAAATGCATGTTCGAAATTCTACTCACAAAAGCATTTATGGTACTTTGGGGATTCAAGACACAAAATCCGCATAAACACGCCATCTGCCGAATCTGTGCGGCACCCCGAGTGTCTCCAGCTCAAACATTTCGCAGCTCCACGAAAGCCCACTCATCGTCATTCTGTTGGAAACAACTTTCGCGAGGCAGCTCAAACCTGCATGTCGTGCAAGCCCCAATCCAAGCCGGGCCTTATTGCAAAACAACGTGCTTGGGACCAAATGCCGGAGGGGGGGGACCGCGGCGAGGGGCAAAGTCAAAGTGTTGGTGGGGTGATAGGTTGAAGGCTGCTGCTTTCAAGGCCCCGAAGACGCAAGTGGACGAGCACGGAAATCACTGGTAGCCACGTCACGGCTGTCAACAGCCGAAAGCGCACATGTGAAGGAACATCGCTGGCTGCTTGCTTTGGCAAGCTTTGGCGTAGACATTGAATGCCGAAAGAGGGATCTGCAAATCATCCAAGCACAAGGTGCTTTCTGGAAAGGCGAAACATCATCTTAGCTTCTGAACTCTTCATACCAAAACGACCGCACAGCCAAGCAAAAGCGTACCACGTTTCTTGGGAATGTGCAGAATGCCGGTAGGCAACACCAGCAAAGATTGGGGCGTCCAAGAATTCGCAATTCAAGCTGCAGACAGCGCCTGCACGGGGCGGGTCTGGCGCCTTTGGCAGCTCCTCCCACTCGGCAATGCTGGCGGCTCCTACAGTTCTGCGGATTTACTGCGCTTGGAACGTTACAGGCACTGCGTCACTTGTACACCCCATATGTGGATCTGGCTCGGTATGAGACATGGTGCTGTACCAGTGTCTGCAAAATTGAGATACGGCCGGGGCTCAATTGCTTATGCAATCTTAGGCGTGCACATGGCATGCACCAAGGACGTGAGACAACCAACCGAGGCATGGGCCCTGCTCAGGGCGGTGCTCCAGCTGAACCTGCAAGCAAAGCGCTGGCGATTTCAAGTGCCAGCGTGGTCATTGTCAAGTTGCTAAGTTTCTGGCTCTGGGTTGCGTGCCAGCTGCTCCCATCGATACCAGGCGGCTGGATAGTTCACGTGGCTAGCCTCATGCTCACTGCTGCAGCCTCTATTTCACAGCTCACGTGTTGGTTTGCACTACTTCACGTACATGCTGCAATGGTGGGTCGCTCTTGCACATCCACTGCTTCCAGACAAGCTGAGTTCCCGCCCCTATACGAGTTCTAGAAGATCGCGGGCACGACACGCAAGCAAATCCACACGCTTGAAGTAAGATGATATGAGCACACAAAAACGCAAACCCGCTTTCTTTGCCGGTCGCAAGAACGAAGTGCCGATTGCAAGCAAGTGAGCACTCTGCTGCCACTTTCTCTTTGCCTACAGCGGCCTAGTCATCGCGTTCAACTGCTCAGGGTCACCTGTCGCGCTGCGGCTCAGGCCCATGTCTTGAATGCATATGACCTCGGGGTGACCCACCCCGATTACATGCTCCGGCTTGCCTCATTGCATGTTGGGGAACGGGGGAAGTACAATGTTTGATCCTGTCACCTTGCAAAAGCGCTTGTTTTCCACATTCGCTTCGGATCAAATCGTCATTTGGGAGTTCTCCCACCAACTTTCTCGTAGTACTCTTCCAAGGTGAAGCGCTGGTGTCCTTGGAAATTATCCGCAAACACGCCTTCGGAGGTGATGCCAATGATGCCCTCAGCCACAGTCAGCAAAAGGTCGGACATAGGCACGAAAGCCCACTCGCAGGCAGGAAAATCAGGATCAAGCCCTCGTGGAGCTTTGGACCTGCCTGCCCAGCCAAATGTCTGAGGTGTCTGGACATCTGCTTTGAAAAGTCCAAGACACCGGTCCTCCTTTCCTTCCGCCCACCTTAGGACATCCTTCCAGAGTGCCGCAATTAGCTCCCGCAGCTCTGGATGGGTTACTGGCAGGGCACCGTCAGCACCGGAGGGCAGGATGGCAGCAGTGGCCAGTCGCCACGGCTGAGCCCACTTGGCGCATTTCCTCTCCGCATCAGTTGCAGTATCCCATTGCCGACGATACGTGGGCATCCCATCAGCCGTTCGCCCTGGTATCCTCAGATTTCCACACTCACCGACATCCCACTTGCTTCTTTGTCTGACAGGTTCTTTCTTCTCACTGTTGTCACCCTTGTCACCCTTGTCACCTTTGTCACCTTTGTCCTTGTCCTTCTCCCTGTCTCGCGTATCGCGCGTCTCGCGCGCATCCCTCCGTGGGCTGCGGCGGCGGCTCCGGCTGCGGCTCCTGCTGCGGCTGCGGCGCCGGCGCCGGCGCCGGCTGCGGCTGCGGCTACGACGCCGGCTGCGGCTACGGCGGCTGCGGCGGCTGCGGCTACGGTCCTCCAGGCCAAAGAGCTTCCCAGCGGGGTAATCCACCATACGCTCCAGCTCCAAGGCCTTCTTGCGGAGCTCGTCGTCCACCTGCTCCTTCACCAGCTCAACCGTCTGCTTGAACTTCCAGCCCTCCTTCAGGCCCAACTTGGTCACTACTTCCTGCGTCGCCTCCTCCATGAGCTGCATGACACCCAGCTGCAGAGTCATCTTGCCGCGATGCCGCAGCTTGTCATAAGCCGTTTGAAAGGTCGGGCCCGTGCAGGTTTGCCAGTATAACTCCAGAAGCTTCTGTGCTTTCGTCTTGTCATCCATCTCAGGCTCCTTGGGTTCCTTCGCCGCATCCACCTAGGAGGGGCTGCAGCCTGTCTTTCGCAAAGGTCAATGGCAGAGTGATCAAGACTGAACAGTTCGGTCGCTAAAACATCTGTAAGGCCAGCTGGAAGCTTGAAGCTGCAAAAAAGTTGAACCGTGGAAATATATGTAACAAACATGTAACAAACATGTAACAAACATGTAACAAACATGCCAAAACTGGAACACGCGCCTTTCAATCCCCTGCCTCGTCCGCATAGATACGCACATCCCCCGCTGGGTCGCGGCTGCAGTCCCAAATGTGTAGCTGCAGGCGGTCCCGGAAGTCTCGCCACAGCGCGAGCTCGGGGAAGTTCTGCATGATTTGCTGCCAGGGCGCTCGGATGTGGCCGTCCCCGAACTGGCGCGCTTCCACCACCAGCAAGCGGTTGATGAGGCATAGGAACTGGGCGCGGTAGCGCTTGGGCGCGCAGTCATAGGCGGTGCGAAGTGACGTACCCCCGAAAATCTCCAGCAGATGCGGCTTCTGGAACCACTCGGACGCCAGCAACAGCGCCTTCTGCGAGTTCAAGTTGGCGGCACGGTTCAGCGCCAGCCGGTCGATGTGGCCCTCCCCAGCCGTGCTCGACACGCTGTGCAGCACGCGGCAGGCCTCCGCAAAGATGGCCTCCTGAAAGAAACTTTCCATCTTCGCATTTGCATTTGCCATGATGTGCTTGCTCTCGCCCCATTCTCTCTCAATTCTCTCTTCTCTGTCGACTTCTCCAAAATCAGTGAAATCATGATTCAAGACATGTCAAGAAATGTCGTAGATTTTTAGATTCAAGATATTCAAGAGATTTCCCATATTTCCCGTTCAGTATGTTTCAGAGTTCCGTTTCGCCTGAGGCCGCTCGAGCATCTCTTGGGAGGCCGTACGGCCTGCGAAGGCCACCAAGCGCTGCAGTGTGGTCCGCTGCTCAGTGAGGCCCTGCCGCAGCTCGTCCGCGGCCTCGGAGAGGCGTTTGAAGGCCGCCCCTGCCGCGAGGTTCGGATTCCTCAGGACACGCACACATCACATGCAAAGAATTATAGATGTAATGATACATGTACATTGTATATATCTATAAGTACAAGCATACACACACATATCTATATATATATATGTATGATATAGATATATATGCACTCTGCATGCACTCTGCATGCACTCAGCATGCACTCAGCATGCACTCAGCATGCACTCAACACTCTCACTCAATTCAGCTCACCTGTAGATCCTCTTTATGACATTTCCCCCATGTTCCCCTGCGTTCGCCTGCGTTTCCCTTTCTTGGAAGTGATAACAGTGAAGAAGTAGCAATGTCGACCATGCTAGGCGCGAAACCCAGCTTTCCTTGCGAACGAGAAAGGGGGCTTGCAATGTCAACAGCGATTTCAGCTAGGCTGAGGCACTTGTCCGGGTGCAGAGCTCTGGCCAGCTGGCGATACGCGTAGGCCACATCCTGCTCGCCGTACCCACCCTGATGGGCGCCGCCCAGGCGCAGAACCGCCTAGGATCCAGCAAGGCTTTGATCTGAGTCCTTCGAATCCCCCCCCTCCCAGTGTGCGCACCACCGAGTTTGTGGCCAGAGGCAAGTTGCCAAGCAAGCAAGAGCACTCTCTCCCCACACACACACACACACTTATCTCGAGAGGCTTCACTAGCCGAGATGAAAAACGCAGTCAGTAAAAATGCTTGAATGCAAATGCAAATCAACAGGTCACAACATCGACACCGAACAGGAAGCAACAGCGACAAACAGAAACCGCAAAAGGAATCAGGAAAGAGGGTCAGGAAATAGGCAGGTACGCCGGATTGATCAGATCCGGTATCCACCGAAATGCCGTAGCTTCATTGGACTGGATAGGCAAATCGGCTCCAGTCCCCCTGCTGCTTAAAGTTTTGCGTCCGTGCTCCAGGACGGTTCACACACAAAAGGCCCCGAGTGGGGCGAGCTCACTTATGCAAGGCCCATTGAGTCTTGCAATCTTCGACTGTGCGGGAAAGTCTCGTGGCGATGACAGACCATGCCTGCTTGGCCTTGGTATTGATCTTAAGCGAACGGAGGAGATCAATCTCCCCCTCAGTCCAAGGTTGAGGGGCTTCGGGATCAGCCCCAGTAGCGGCATCAGTCCTGGTCGATGGGGTAGCTTCGCGTTGTCCACGGGTAGGTTTGGATGCCATAGAGCGTGAGGAGGTCTTGTCATGTGTGCGACGAGCTCGTTTTTTGTCAGGAGGAGACGGTGGAGTGGGTGGAGCCCAATGATCAGGAAATTGTTCATCATGATCTGCGAGAAGTTGTTCGCCATGATCTTCAGGAAGTTGTTCATTAAGATCATCGGGGGGGGCTAGGAGAGGTGTTGGTGGTGAATTGGTCAGGTCCTCTACGGTGAGATTGAGTGGAGCTTCCGGTGCGAAATCCGGACCCTCAGTGAACTCGCGAATGGTGGCGATGCCTTGCTGGGCAATGCCGAGGATGAGTTCAAAGTCTTGAAGCAGCTGGCGTGCTGTGTCAGGATCCATGATCGCAAAAAGTTTTATGTCAAACAGCTGCGGTGTGAAAACAGGTCATGTGGGAATCTGCCGGTGGGCTAAGAGTGAAAAAGTGGGTGCAATCTCAAATAGTGGCAAAGGAAGGCCGGTGCGTTTTTTCTTTCTGCAAGGTGAAACCGTGTTGGTGGCACAACTTCTTCAACACTGTGAGATCGTGATCTCGCTGAAACTCAGGAAAGGAAACCCGGCTGATCAGCGTACGTCTGGAGTAATATCCAGATTCCTTGTGCATCATTGGTGCGGCCGACTTGATGGAGAGCATGTTGTGCTTCTCATACGAGGGGATGAAGGAGATGGTGCCGCACTCAAGGTCCAGTCGAAAACCCCAGAAATCCAGGGCGGCTTCTGTCTCCAAAAGGATGTCTCCTCCGTAGAAGTGTTCGTCACACAAGATGTGGGCTGCCGGAGTCGAAAACCATCTAGGGGTTGCGACCACGAGCCTGTTGTCCACATAGCGGAGCAGGAGGGTGTCCTCAAAGGAGCAAGGTCCCGAAGTAGGATGAGTGTTGGCCCAAATTTTCTCGGCGACCGCAATTACCATCAGGCATAAAGCAGGAGATGCGGGGGATCCCATCGGGGCCCCGCGTGTTTGCCTGAAGGAACGGAAGCCGACAGAAAAGATCTGCATGTCAAGGGTAGCTTGAATGATTTCGGGGATGTCGTCAAGCCACAGAGTGCGTTGTGCTGGCTTGTGTCGGCGACGGCGTCCGTTGTAGACGCGGGTGGTGGAAGAGGTGTCAAGTGTGTCCACTGTGAGGTGTGTGGTGGTGGAATGTGGTTGCCGCTGTCGGTACCAAGTCAAAAGTAGACGCCAGGCTGCTAAGAAGCGGTCTTTGTCAATGGAAGTGAAGAAACCAGAAAGGTCCTGGTTTCGACAGTCCAGAGGAGTGTGGCCGAGGCGGAGAAACTCATGCAAAGACCGCATGAGATCGAAGAGGTCGCCACCCGAAAATGCGTCTGGGCAAGCCGTGGCAACCATGCTGTGGAGCAGTTTGGCGAGAGCGTCAAGCATGGGTCGGAAGAAGGCGCCAACGAAGCTGATGATGGGTCGAGCGGTGGTCCAGTTCTTCTTCCTCTTGGGGAGGATGTAGGCAGTCGCTGGCCGTCCGAAGCCGGTCACGGCCCATGGATAGCGACCGCGGAATCTGCTGACGATGCTTTCTCGTTGCCGCAATGGAGGGGACTCGCAAGGGAGCAAAGATGGCAGGATCCGTGAATGTGGCGTCCAGCATCTTGCCGTACACAGCGGGGCAATAGAGCATGAGTCGGGAGTCCGCATGATCTTCGCAATGGCGGACAAGGGGCTCCAGGGTTGTTAGAGCCTGTTGAACATGAGCATGTAGAAAGTACTGTTGTGTGTGAGGAAGGTGGAGGTCGAAATGGAAATCGACAATAGTGGAAAGGGTTGATGGATCAAGCGAGGGCAGGTTGTTGGTCCTGGCCCAGTGGTGAAACGCCTGAGTCAGACGATTCATCAAGACCCCGCGTGGAGGAAAGAAGGAGTTGCGCATCGAACCAGAAAGCATGCTGACTATGTCGGGGTCGAACAACTCATGAGTGTCGGAGCCAGAAAAAAGAAGGTGTCCTTCATGCTTCGGGAGGGATGGGTGTCGCTTGGCGAGGTCGGTACATGTGCAGGACAGCTCGCCGAGACTCCAGGTTTGAGCTGCCTGGAGGTGTGAGAACAAGGCGCTGGATAGTTTCCGGTGTGCCTTGAAAACGATGAAACGGTAGAGCACTGCGGGTGGTGGATCTGACAAACCTGCGGAGCTGGGTCAAAAGCAAAGTCCGAAAGGAGGAATGTGCGAAGAAGGGCGCGAGCATCGGTCTGGAGGGGCCGGGTGGAATTAGGCCCCGGAAGCGCAGGCTAGATCGAATGGCAGAGATGCATGCCTGGTGGTGTGGTTCAGGTAAGTGTGTAGCGATGCGATGAAGGATGTATAGGGCAGCGTGTGGGAAGTCTCTGCTCCGTATGTAACGGATGGCATCAAATCGTCGTAGGGCGTTGCTGCCAAGATCGCCCAAAAGTCGCCACAAGTCCAGGCGGTTGCTCATGCGCTTGGCCAGGAAAGCTTGTTGCAGAGCGATTGGTAGTCGTAGTCTGCGACGCTTTCGCCAAATGGTGGCAAAGCCCATGTGCCGGGATTGAGAAAAGTCCAATTGTCGTATGAAGCCCGTGCGTGGCCGACAATGTCTCTCGATGAAGCCAAAATTGAGAGACGGTTGCAGTTCCTGAATGTAGAACTGCTCAATGGCGAAGAGGTCTGTTGCTGGGACGGTAATGTGGATGGGCACTGAAGTGTAAAAGTGGAAAACATCGAAATGCGCCCACCATCGAACGGCCAGCTCGGCGTTGACCAAATGGTGTCGTTGAACCTGAAGTAGTTTGCGGAATCGGCTGTGATCCCGAGCCATGAGAGAGGTGCGAGTTGCACCGACATAGAAAAAGGTTTGCCATTTGGGATGGCTGGTGAATCTCAGATAAACTGCGGAAGGGACAAGCTGAGATGAGAAATCAGAAGCGGGGGAATCCAGGCCGAGTCGGGCAAGCAGGGCTTTCAGTCGGCCAGAGCCACACGAGAGATGGCAGACGTCAAGTAGCTGAAGCTGCGCGAGTAGCCAGGAACAAAAGTGACGTGCGGTGACGTCGTCGGTTGGGAAGAACCGGAGAGTGAAACGGAGGACAGCGAGAAATTGGCGGCAGTGGTGTTGCCAAAAATTGTGTTGCTTGGCTGTGCGTCGTTGTCGGTGTGGTAGAAGTGGCTTGCAGCGGCCAGGATGCGGCCCAGGGCCGATGACCCTAGTTTGGATAGGGCTCGCACTGGTACGCCCCAGAGCACGGCGGCTCGTTCCAGTTGGGCTCTGGTGTCGGGGTCCAGTGTGGTCGCCCATTTGGCGCAGTCGTTGGACCAGCATTTAAGGGTCTGCTTGCTTTCTTTGCTGATCTTCTGGGAAGTGATCCATCGCTGGACTTTGGTGTCGGATATGTCGGGAAGTTGCTGGTGAGCCATTGGCAAACGTGGGGAGGGGGTTGGAGCAGGTCGCAAGGCTCCTTCCAGGTGGGCGGAGAGGGGAGGGGAGAAGCCGCCGGCCGCCGTGGGTGGGGGGGGGCCGGGGGGGTGCCGCCGCGGGTGGGGGGGGCCGGGGGAGAAGGGGAGTCGTCAGAGGAGGGGGAGGGCGGGGGAAACGTCAGGTGGTGGGGTGTCAGGCGTGGTCAACCGTGGCCGCTTCACGCCAGAAGGGAGGCCTGAGAGGGGTCAGCCGGGCGCTTGCCGGATGATGTGGGTGTAGGGGAAGGTGAAGGGGATGAGGCTTGCTGTGCGAGTTGGCTGTGTGCGACGGCAAGCTGTTGCTGGAGCTGGAGGATGGTGGCAGCTGAAGCTGGGTCAGTCGTAGTGGTGGGTCGTAGGGAGATGAGGAAGTCGAAGATCTTGCTGGTTAGTAGCTTCATGGCTGCTGGTTTGGTGGTCGAGGTGCCCTCCTGTGTAGCGACGTGAAGAGCGAGGGCATCCAAGTCAAGATGTCGTTGTCGGATTTGGCTGAGTAGCCCAGCGGCGAAGACTGACTCCGGCATCGACTTTGCGACAACGATGCGTACCTCACCTCCATGGGCGAGGTGGCGCAACCACCAGCTGTTCCACTGTTCGTGCAGGAAGTTGAGGAGGGGAACGCGAGCGACGTCCTGTCCCTCAATGCCCAATTGCCGGGTGAACGCGGTATGCGTTAGGACCTTGGGCAGGTCGTACCCTGCGACGCGGGTGGTGTCGTAGTGATCGCCGTCGGGGTTGAACTCTGCTGGTGTTGGGACTGAGTGGAGGGGGCGAAGAGCAGGAGGGGGTGTGGCCTTCGAGGCGGTGGAGGGAGGGGAGAAAAGGGGGCCGCGGGTGAAGGGGCCGGGGGGAGGAGGGGGAAAGTGGGCGCCGCCGGAGGAGGGGGGAGAAAGCCGGTGAAAGGGGGACGGGGGCCGAGGGGTGGTGGAGTGGATGGCTGGAAGTGGGAAGTGGGGTGGCCGTGGGGTTGGCAGGGAGTTGGAGGTGTAGTCGGTGGTATCCATAGCAAGGCCCCGACAGGGCCCCGCACGGGGTTCCGGCCGTGTTGTTGCCGTACATGTTGCCATGGTGGTTGGATGCAGCGGGTGAAGGTTGCTGTGGATAGTTTTGCCTTTGGAGCATCGGTAACAAGCCTCGAGGGGGTTGGAAAGCCATGAGAAAACACAAGGGAAAGGGACCAAGTTCGAACCAAAGGCTGGCAGACGGCAACCAAAAGGAAGGGTCGCACGGCGAAAGACCGGTCACAGAAAAGGCAACAAAGCGAACAAACCGTGCATCAGTTCTTTTCCTGGTCGTATGGAATATGGTACGGTTCGCGCCCCGCTACGCCGGGCGCTGCAGCGCGACACCTCTCAGCATGGCATACTTGGAGTGAAGGCACCACTTCTTGCCTCTAGTGGCGCCGCACGTTGTGCTGGTCCTCGTGGCTTCCCCCGGACTCCAAGATCTTGTGCTGATTGACAGAGCGCAGTTCCCCAAAAGCGATGGCCCCAAGCTGAGACTTTCCGATGGTGAAGTTCTGCAAAAGCTGGCCTAACGTGTCGGGATTGCAGGCTGTGGGAGTGGCCTGAGCATAGCATCCAAAGCTCGGGTAGTCATGGTTCTCAGGCCTCCATGCAGCAGGCCGGATCATGTTCTCATAGGACATGCGGCGCATTCGATCCGGGGTGGTGCCGTGTACATACATGACAGCGTGATGGGAAGCTGTGCCGGATCCAGCTTCCGGGTGCCCGCCAGCGACCGGCCAGGGGTGTGGTCGGGGAAACCAAGTGGTTGCGAACACCATGCCATGTGATTCCCGTCCCAGGAGATGGTAGAAGCTGGGTTCGAACGCTATGGGCTCATCCATGTCCATGGTTCGCAGTTCCCAGCATTCTGCGAGGAGGTCGGCATGTGAAGGTGGCAAGGCAGGGTCCAGGTTCGTCAAAATGGCCTTGGTCTGTTCCATTCTGGAGATGTCCAAGGCTGGAAGCGGGTCCAGCTCCCCCAACTCCCTAGGCGTGGGAACTCGCATTGGGTCAGTCTTGGCTGTGTCCATGACGCTTCGCCATAGATCAAGCCACCGGTTGTCGGAGTTTGTGTTGAGCTCTGCCTCCGACGGCGGGGGATCCAGGTCTTCAATGTCATCCAAGGGGTGTTGGGGGGAGGGTTGGGAAGGTGCAGGGCGGGGAGGGGGGGTTGGGAAAGCCGCCGCGGGTGCAGGGGTAGGGGGCATGCTGGCGTTGTTGCGGCCAGCACGGGATGGGGGGTGCGGTTGTTGCCCAGGTTGCTGCTGTGGCCAGGACTGTCGCTTGTCCTGACTGCTCCAGTTGCCTGTGTTGCTGGTGCTGTGGCGGTGCTTGCCCCAGCGGCTTGTACTGTGGCTCTGCGGTGGGTGTCCCCACGATTGGTTCCACCAGCGTGGAGAGGACCTTTGAGACTTGTCGGTGTCCCGTTCGGAAGTGCGCCGGGAAGTGGAACCTTGGGAGGTGTGGGTTTGCGGGGCTCGATGTGGAGCCGTGGTCCTGGGTGCGGGGGAGTGTTGTTGGGGGGACCCGGGGGGAGCGTGAGCGGAGGGAGATGGGGTTGCGGTGCGATCGCCTGGAGCGGTGGTGGGGCCGTGCGGGGGAATGTGACCGGCTGGAGCTGCGTGCTCGCCGGGTGGTGTGTCGCCGTGGCGACTTGTCGTGTCCACGGTGATGACTGGTGTGGGAGTGTGAGTGGCGGTGTCGTCTGTGACGGGAACGGGATCTGCGGGAGTGGGACTGGGGATGAGTGTCCGTGGGATGTGGGTTGGTCGAGGAAGCGGCGGCAGGAGTCGTAGCAGCTGCATCGGCTGCGCGTGCCGGCTGAGGCTCGGGCAATGAAGATGGCATGCTGCTCTGAGCCATGAAGGGCATCAGGGCGGCGGATGTCGCGTTGCCAAAGTTAGGAAGGTCACCGTAGGGCATCACGGACATCGGGTTGCCAAAGTTCGGGAGGCCACCATAGGGCATCATGGAAAACGGTGCAAAGGGCGTGGTCTGTGGGTTGGGTGAAGGTACGAGGCTCATGGGCTGCATCATCTGGGGCGACAACTGCAGGTCCGGCCGCAATGCTTTGCAGGAGCGAATGCATCATGTCATAGAGCTGGTGTCCAGCCATCTCGCAAGGGAGGGAGAGGGTTGGAAAGAGAGGGGTGGAAACAATAAAAGGCAACTGCGGCATGGGCAGGCACGATTTAGCAACTGATTCACACATGACCTGTGCCTCAAAAAAGCTGCCTTGTCGGTCCAACTCATGTCAATGCAGGTGTCGCTTGAACGTGAAAGTGAATCGAACTGATCAGAGTCAGTGCAGAGCGTAAGCCGATGAACTGCAAAGTCGGTGTTTGACCGACCTGTCCCTGGCACATGCGGCAGCCTAGCCGAAACCTCATGGTTGCTGCCTTGCTCAAGGTGCAGGCAATGCGACAGGTGCAACAAGCAACGCGAATGGCAGTACCTCACCTGCAAAATTGCTGCCTTGACCATGGTCAATCGCGCTGAACTGCGGCTTGAATTTGAACGAATGAACGGTCTTCCCCTCGTCCCGCATGTGGCGAGTCCAGCCCACAGCGCCATGTCGGACAGGCCGTGGGTAAACACACTTATCTCGAGAGGCTTCACTAGCCGAGATGAAAAACGCAGTCAGTAAAAATGCTTGAATGCAAATGCAAATCAACAGGTCACAACATCGACACCGAACAGGAAGCAACAGCGACAAACAGAAACCGCAAAAGGAATCAGGAAAGAGGGTCAGGAAATAGGCAGGTACGCCGGATTGATCAGATCCGGTATCCACCGAAATGCCGTAGCTTCATTGGACTGGATAGGCAAATCGGCTCCAGTCGCCCTGCTGCTTAAAGTTTTGCGTCCGTGCTCCAGGACGGTTCACACACACACAACGAAGCTATGTCAGGTCCTGCCGCGTCCATGAAAAAAGGATGTGCATGAATCTGCGACTGTTTCAAGATGCGTGCTTTGATTGCCAGGCGCGGGCATTTCAGCAAAGCGCTGCAAACAATTGCAAACAAGCCACGCCAGCGCCCAAGATGCGCCCGCTAGAGGGACAAATTCGCTCGACCTCATCTGCAGGTGGGCCAACTAAGATCTTCTCCTCGCGGTGGGCCTCGACGACGGACTCCCGGAGCCTGCGACGCGTGTCGGGGTCGTCGAACCAGGGCTCGTCGCCAAAGAGCTCGACACCCTCCACGCGGATGATCTGCTGTTGGGGCGGCGGCTGAGGCGGTGCGGGGACCTCACAAGCGCCCGGCACGGCGGCCCCGGCCCCAGCCCCGGCAGCCCCTGCAGCCCCTGCAGCCCCGGCCCCAGCGCTCATGCCGGCACCGGCACCGGGAAGGTTTGGAGGCCTCCCCGGGGGCGGGCCCGGCGCCTTGGCACTCTCGTCCCGCTGCTTCCGAAGCCGCTCGAGGATCTTCTGCGTGATGGCCGGGAGCTTCGCCGCACGAGCTGCGGCGGGGAGGCTGGCAGGGAGAGTCTTCTCCGCCATCGCCTTGGCCTGCAACTCCAGGTCGCTGGCCATCTTGCGCACTGATGCCCCCTTTCGGGCATCCGTATGGAAGGAAACGCTGCGGCAATCGGCAAGACCGGCACATTGGGCAAAGCATGCGCTGCAAAGGCGATCTTCACGCAATTCAATTGGGGCCATGGACATGGGACGGCCAAAAGACAGCTAGCGGCAAGCAAGTGCATCCGTTGTGGCCTTTGACAGGAGCCGAGCGCCCCAGCGGCTCCAGCGTCATACGGCACGGTTACGCCATACACTATTTCTGCATGTGCGTGTGTGTGTGTGTGGCTACGATGCTCCTTTCCTTCTCAAGCCGCTACAGCAACTACTGCTTGCCATTGCCAGGGCACACCAAACCAAGCTGATGCTGTGAAGGCAGACAACATTTTTGGCCTTCATCCACATTGTCCATTCTCCGCCTCTCTCTTTGAGAGGCGGAGCTGCTCAACCTCCTCTATGATTGCTTGCCGCTCATGTTCACCTCCGGAATCTAGAACAGCCTGCGCTGCCAAAGCCAGTGTGGAAAGATGTGGAAAGCCATGAGCCCTCTATCTCTTCACATCCCACACGCACACATACACTTGCACATGCAAAACATCTCTCAAGGCGATCGGTCGTATTAGACTCGCGCCTTGATGATCCACTTCTTTTTCTTCAGCCGGGCCACTTCCTCGTGCACTTGCACCCATGTTGCGAATAGCCATACCAGATATAAATGTACCATCCGCACCCGAAGCGGACCACTTCCATGCGGAGGCAAACGGCTCGGGCAACAACTCAGGACTTGACATTTCGCAAGGTCACTGCTTCGAGGACCAGCTGGGAGTGAAACTTTTCCTTGGCAAGGCGTTTCATGAGAGCATGCACAATACGCCTCCCAACAGCAATAACGCGAAAGCCATGGAAACCTTCGAGGTCAGGGGCAATCTTCTGGCTCATGCCCACGTCCTGCACATGCCCGGTAGTCGTGGCACTCTCACTGGCTCCTTGGCACCTTCTGCTCCCCGTCTGGCTTCTGCTCCATGGCTTTGTAGAAGACCTGCCGGGTCACCACGGAGCGCGCAGCGCAAGACCCAATTGTGGCATATTGATATTGCACGCGGGCACCCTCCTCCAAGCGTTGATGGAGCTCCGCATTCTCTGACTTTATTTGCTGAACTTCAGAAACCGGTTGTCCTTGGCAAACCTGGTGGCTCAAGCAAAGCAGGTTTGCAACGCTCCAGCATCGGACTTGGCTTTTGGAACTGTGTGGCCTCGATCTCGAGCTCTTGTATTCGCTGATGCGCTGCGAGCAGTTGCCCTTCCAGGTGGCCCTGCGCACTCTGCGCACTCTTCAACTCCTGTGGAGAGGGAGGCACGCGGAATCGATGCAATGCCCTCAGGCGTGATCGTGTGTTCGTGTGTGTGAGTGTCAACAGGCTGTGGCTCAACAAATGGTACCCGAAAATGGGCCCTTGGCAAATTGGAAAACAATATTCTTCAAGAACAATTCTTGCACTGAAAAAGGCACACACGCGCATAAAAATGAAGACCTCCATGGCTTCAGCGTGACGTTCTGAAAGTTCAATATCCACAGCAACCTCATTGCCAACAAAGCAAATCAAGCACGTTGCCACATCTGCTAAGCAAGCAGCATCCGTGCATTGCGTCTGGCTCCGGTCTGACGCACAACTGCATTTGCTCGCCTGCAATGCCAAGCTCAGAAGTCACTTGGCCCGTTTGGCCACGGAGGCCCGGCCATGCTCGCAACCGCCGTCTCGGCGGACTGCACGGAGTCCGCTGCTGGCGAATCCCGGCCCTGCGAATCGAGACGCGTGTCAAGCGTCACGTGCGTCCCTATCGTCCCTATGTCCTGCCTTCTTTGGCCACGGATCTCCTGAGTCCCCGTGCAAAAGCATCGAATGGGGACACCGCGAGCCTGATGCTCGCACGGGTGGCAAAGATGCCGGCCTGCCGCGCAACGGGACAACTTCTTGTGCCGTGGCATGGCCCAAGCCTTGGTTTGGGCCGACGCTTCTCCTTTGGTGGCGGAACAGGACCATCATACCCGCGCATCATCGCCTCGGCATGCATGAGCCCTGCCTGGCAGTTCCCCACGCAAAAACAACACCCACTGAGGCATGAAACGTCAACTGCTTCGAAGAGCTCACGGCCCTCCGAGTTGTCCCGCCGTGCGGAGAATGGCCAGTCAGAGCTGCTTGGCGACTTCTGAGCAGCGCCTCCGGGCGATGCTTCGCTGCTCATGGACAAAAGATGCATTGGGCCTTGAACAATCCTGTGCAGCGCGGCTGGAGTGCCATAGCCACTGAAGCTTCTCGACATCTGGGCCCTGGGCAATGTCCTTGCCTGGCTGGCGGCCTTTACCTGCCCAGTCTGGCTGGGGCCGCAGCTCCGGCTCGCTTTGTCTGCTTGGCCTGATTGGCCGAGACTACGGCCTGCTGGGCCTCGGGCTGCTGGGCCTGGCTGACCTACTTGGCCGGGTTGACCCGCTTGGCCTGCATTCTCTGCCGGACTATTGCCCGCAAGGTTGCCCTCCGCTCTCGGCGGGCGGGGAGCTTTGTCCCGGAACTCCCAAGTTTTGGCGCGCTTTGTAGGCCTCAGCCGCCGCCCCCCAACCCTCTCCAGTGCTTGCCGCTCCTCTTCCAACAAGTCCTCGGGCAACTCGGGCACGCCCAAGGCTCGCAACAGATATTCGTGAGCCGTCGCGAGGCGGGCTTCCAGCTGTTGAATCATACGATCCTTTGGATCTACATTTACGGCTGGCAGGTTGCGGATGCACGCAGCCTGAGAGGCGTACTGCAAGGTGCTCAGGTTCTCGTCATCATGCCTATCGGCAGGGGCCAGGCACGCAAACATGACCAAATAGCTATTGCCGCCAAGGCTGTTGTGAAGCAAAGATGTCAGCTTGGACTCCCGATAGGGCACGTGGATCTCATTCTTTGCCTCCGGCTTCTCTCGCTTGCTGAGGGCTGTGATGACCCTCCGCAGGACAAAGAGAGACTGGTTCACGTTGATTGCCTCGTGGAACCTCGTGCTGCTCCGGCCCATGCCTCCGCTGGCCACGCTCCGCTCCGACCCAGCTAGGTCCACCAGGGACAGCTGCGAGACCACTTCGCGGGGCGCCGCCGCCTCCTCGCGCTCTTCACGGCGGGCCAGGGTCAATGTCAGCAGCGTGTGGGACCTGGAGGATGCCACGTTCATGGTGGTGGAGGCCACCTGCTTGTTGGCAATCCCGGTCTGATAATGCTGCAGCGCCTCCTCCGCTGAGGCGCACTCGTATTGGAACAGGTTCTCCACGAAGAAGTGCCGCTTCGCGGCGTCCCAACGCAGCCTGAGCCCGGCAAACTCCTCGCCTCGGCCACCAGTCTCCCGCTGGGCCACAGAAAGTGAAGGGTTCAGCAAGTCGAAAATCTTCTCATTGTAAATCTGGAGAAAGGAAACCCGCACAACTGCTGACGTGTCTGTCCTCCGCATTGCCTCGACTCTATCGAAAAGGGTCAGCACGGCTCGCGGCACAATGCCCAGCTGATCTGCTGGCGTGGTCTTGGCCTGCGGAATCCAAGGCTGTTGAAATGATGCCAAACCAAGAAGGCAGCACCAACAAAAACAAGAAGATTGTGCAAGTGCAAGCACTCAGGAACATAGTAGCGAAAACACACAACCAACACGGCCTCTTCAATGGCTCGCTTCAATTCAAGCTTGCTGCAAAAACGAGCCTTGACACGCGGACGGGAAGCGGCTGCAGAGGGTGCTGAGCCACAGAAATGCTCATAGTTGAAGCCTTCCATTGTGTGAGTCTTACCCGTGCCCGTCTGCCCGTATGCAAAGACCGTCGCATGGAATCCCAGGGCCACTTTGCCGACCACATCTTCAATGCCCGACATGTCCCACACCTCTTGCTGCGTGCGCTCCTCGCCAATGACCCGATTGAACCTAAACTGCCGATTGCGACCTTCCTCCTTCAGAGAGATGGTGCCATCGTCTTCCTTTAACTGCATCGCACTGTGGGTGTAGCCATCCGACTTCTCCCACTGAAGCATTGGCCGCAGGCGTATGCAGATCTGAACGGCGGGTATGGCCTTGTCCAATTTCACATCCACTTCGCTCTCAGCGCGTGGAGAGGCTTCCGCACCAGAGCCAGATGAAGCCAGGGCCTCAAGGGAAGCCTTCCGCGTGGGTTCGGCTGTGCCTTTTGAAAGGGCAGCGCCGTCTTTGCCATCTAGCTCCGCTTGCTGGGGCTCAACGCATTTGGTCGGCCCCCCCATCACTGTCGCACAATCCTCTGTCAAAGCCACTTGTGTGCACAGCGGCTGGATGCACAGGTCTGGCACGAGCTCCATTCCAGAAGCATCATTCTCTTGAAATGACTCCTGCAATGCCTGCTGCTCAACAGATGTGGTCAACTCTTGATGTGAGGTTTCTGCTGGTGACTTCGCTTGTGATGGCTGATGCTCGACGCACACGCCTGGCTGATTCTCAGATGGCTCATGTAGGGGCTGAAGGTCGACGCGTGCTGACTCTAAATTTGAGGCACTTGTGCAGTCTTCAGATGACTCACCTTGCAAGGGCTCACTCGCGATGCAAGTGCCAGGCTCAATGCATAACTCCGCTTGTATAGATTCAAGGGTTACCGGTTTGGGGCCCACAAGGAAACAACAAACCGTCCAAGTGCGCTGCTCGCACATTTTCACGCTTGAACAGCCACACTGCGGATGCAATAGATGTTAAACCCACAAACTGACCGATTGAATTCTTCACCCCCCTCTGCGTGTTAAAGGGGCCTTTCACAAAGCAGCCAAACAGAAACACAACAGAGGGAAGAACGGTCGGGTTTCATCTGCACATGCAACTCCATGACGGGTGCGCTTTTAGCGCCACCGCCAATTCGACTGATGGCCACTGCCTGTACTGCCGCCCCAGCTGTTCCAACCACTGCTGCACCAGTCGTTCCACGCCGTGCTGCTCCACTGCTCGCCCTCGCGGGCGGCGGGAGAAGCATAGGGAGCATTGGAGGCATAGCCGCATTGCGGGCAAGGTGCTTTCCGCTTTCGCTGCGTGAGAACTCCACGGAGTTCCACGCTGCCCGCTCGTTTTGGTGAAAAATCCATTCGAGCTCTTCGCGGAGTGCGCCTTCGCTCTGACCGGACAAATAGACCAAACCGTTCCAGCAGCGAATGCTGCGAGGCTTGTCCTGCTCCAGCACAATGTGGACAAAAGCACGGGGGGAGTAAGGCATGCCTTGGAACATCAAAATCCAGCGCGACGTCAGCGCGTCTCTCAGCTGCATGACCATGAACTCAAGCTCCATCTTCACGTACGCGAGCCTTGCGATTCGCGAATCGGATGTTGATCCTGAACCAACACCAAGCGTACGCTGAGCCTGCGACTGTTTTGGAGCTGCTAACACCAGGTTTGCGCATAGTTCCATGCGAAGCATATCCGCCTCCCGGCGTCCGGCCTCAATCATCCTCACCCTGTATTGCAAATCGAGCTCATAGCGATCGATGAGAGAATGATAGCCATTCTTCAGAGCGGACTTCAACTTCTTTCGTCCCTCCTGAATCACGGCGCTGTCCGGGGAGTTCAGGCCTCTGACGACGCCGATACGGTCCTCCTCGCGGAGGTCGCTTGTACCCACTGACGCCAGGACCTCTGCAGTGATGTGCGTGCTGAGTCCCATCTTCTTGAGGAGGTTGGAGCGCTGCTTGATGTAGTTGCGCTGCTGATCCTTCAAGAGACGCTGGTTGAGGGGAGATAACTGTCCGCACGTAGTGCAATTGACCTGCCCCTCAAAAATATCGTTATTGCACACGGGACACTTGGCGACCTTCATTTCCACGTTCTCCATGGGATTGAATGTCTTCTGCCTCTTCGCATCCCCTTGCGGGGCGCGAGGTGAGGCAGCGTTGGTGCTTGTCGTGGCAATTCTTTCCAAGGCATTGCTGCGGTCGTCGACAACCGCCTGCTCACGTTTCATTCCCAAGCTGTCATCTTCGGCAGATACCGCTGTAGCATCTGCTTCTGATTGCTCAGTGCGAGTATACCATACGTCTCCGTTGGTGGCGTCCAAAACTGAAAGGATGACATAGTTCGGGACTTTGTCACGAGTGAGCACACCATCCGATTCCGTCTTGAAAAAGCATAAGCCAGCACGAATCGCCATGCGAAGATCAATCTGAATCTCGAGCGGGCGATCTGCACGGACACCGGAGATGTAATGGTCTCTTGTGCTCGGAACATCTGCAAAGTAAACATGTGGGCGTCCGGAGTCATGCTGATCGCCACCGCTAGGCACCAAACCGTTGCGCATGATGCTTGCGTTTGTCCGTGCGGTGGTACAACACCGTTGGCGGATCATCGCAAACGTCCCATCCGGCCCACCGACCGAGGTCGGTTCCAGGGTTGACAAACCACAACTTGGCAATCCCGGAGTCCTAGATGTTGAGCCAGTCCTCATGTCCTTGGGAGGCTTTCACTTTGAATAGCCAATGAGAACAAGGGACGTCTCCGCACCGGCCTGCGTCCGGGCAACCAAGCGCAATGAACCTCTGCTTCTTGTCAAGCTTGAAGATGTCCATGATGTTTTGCATATTCCATGGAATTGGATGCCGCAGCTCCTTGCGAAGCGCGAAACCCAGATCTTCGAGGTCCATGTACCCGTCCGCGTCCATACGATAGCCACATCCCTCTGTGCCTCGGCCCCTGAGGATCTTCGAGATACAGGTCAGCGATCGATGATACCTATCATCAATGCGCCGGACGGATGGATCGTAGTCGAACTTGGGCTGCTGGACAACCACGAGCCGTTTCGCACCTTCACCATAGTCGACGTAGTTCTCGCCCTTGCAGGTGCTATAGACCCAACAATTGTAGTGGCCTCCAGTCTCATTCCGGCCATACGATTCAAGAGGCTCAGGCTTGTCGACCACCTCGTCCTTTTTCGCCACTGCAGCTGCTTTGCACCGGCTTACGCCGAGCAAACATCATGAACAATGTCAACGCCGGCGGGATCAGAGGCAGGAGCAAAGTCAGCTGGGTTCACCGGGGCGAAGTCAAGTGGCTGCCTGATTTCGACCTCTTCTTTTGTAAATGGCTGGCCGACCATTTCGGACAAACTGACACCACATTTTGTAAGCGTCTCCTTGCAGTACGCGAGAACTTCCACATTCACAGTGCTGTCATCTCGATTGCGTTGCTCGTGCTGGTCAATGGGACGCACAGTACAATCGTGCGTTTGGCTCAGCTCGGCTACGCTGCCCATCGCAGGGCGCAAAATCGAAAGAATAAACAGCATATGATGTGTTCCTCGCATAAATTGTACTGTCTTGATAATGTTGTCGTCGCTGAAACACATGTGGTATCTGTCCAGGAGGTCGATCGTCTCAACGAAAGGATTAGCATCCACGTAGATCATTATCTGACTGGGCTCACTGATGATGAAATACCGCACCTCGCTCATATAGCGATCCCAAATCATGGAAAACCCGTAGTGGACGCTGCTTGCACCAGTCATCACTCCAAGGCATGCGCAGCCCTTGCGGGCCGCGAAGTTCATCGTCCACAACAAATGCCTCTTCGTGTCTTCAAGCATCTGAATTGCGTCACCGTCGGGTGAGTCGAACGGGTAGGTGCCGCTGGGCTCGAGACCACCTTTGCCGACCAATTCGTTGCCGTTCCAGGAGATCATCGGGATGATGGTCGCCGTGGGGAAGTCCGTACGCGCCTCATCGATGAGGGCGGCCATCTTCTTGCAAAGCTGCTGAAGGCCTTTCCCCCATAAAGCATCTCGGACTTCCATGCACCGACACGCGCCGGGCGAGAAGTGTCGAGGCGCTCCTTCAAGTCGTACTTGCGGAGCTTCCGTTTGCCTCCAGAGACCATCAAAAGTCCCGAGTCCGCCACGGTGATGTAGATCACCGCATTGCGGTCAGGGATCTTTGGAGCAGCAACAATCTTCAGGTAGGGCTCGGAAATCGTGAGCAGGGGTGTGAGCAGCCGCAAATAATGCGGCTGGTCCTGAATCCACGTATGGATCAGCGACTGCGAGGAAGTCGATTCCAATAGCCCCTTCACCGTCGCCGCCAAGTTGCTATCACACCTGGCGTTGGTGCACACCGAAGTCGTGGCGATGTTCTCCATCCATCGCCTCCATGCCGGGTCGCAATCCCTCGCGGGATGCGCCATTGCCGTCTGGCCACTCATTGCGAGGAAGGAGCAGCACAGTCACTCGAAAGTAACGGCTGCATGGTGGCATGTTCGGAGAATGCATCATGAACGGCGTCGGTGTAAACATGAGTGTATCACTCAGCTTCCTTCAAATGGGTTCCACGGCTTTCATCATGCTCATGAGAACCATCACATTTGAAGTACTCAACAACATAGATAGTGGGCATATTGCTGGCGACAATCCACTGCTTCTTCATTTGTTTTCCGTTTCTCCCTTTGATACCGATTTTGCAACCATGGAATTCATATTTATTCATCTTGTGTTTTGTCAAGAAACTCCATAGTTCAGGACATTTCCAATAACGACAAGCTTTGGGAAGTTCGAAGGCAACTCTGTTGTCGTTTGAGTAAACATCATTGAGAATGCGTTTGAACCCTCTCAACAAGGATCGAAATTGCTTGATGTGACCCTCAATCTTGGCGGCACCTTTGGGAGTTTGCTGGTTGACATAACCCCACGGGCAGCCTCCAGTGCATGGCAATGAGACATAAAACATTATGGCGCCTTTGGGATTTTTGCTTCTAAACTCGGCAATTTCCCGGCTCAACCACTGCCTACACGTGTCGGAGCACCCGTCTTCTTCTTCGGTGACCCGGATGACATGGCAACCTTTTGAAGAGTCTCTTGCTTCGCCCAACCGTGAGGCCGTCGAACAACAGAATTCAATAAGGAGACGCTTGGGCTGAACGTTGCATAATGCAGCGATCTGCCCCCCCTGATCGCTGACTTTTCCGGCCTTGGCGCACGGGGCGTGCAGCAAACTGGCGGCGCAGGCTCGCGCCTGGCGACTGGGGGAGATTCCGATCAGCTCAAGTGCGTGGTGCCACACCGGGGTACTGTCAAACGATTCACGAACTGCTCCTGGAGCCATCTAAAGCTAATGCGTTGGGTCGTACGCCTTAGCTTCTGTGAGTGTCCTTGCTGCAATATAGTGATCGTGGCCTGATTGTCTTCCATCAGCTTCACTTTCCACTTGTCACTGAGATGCACAGTTAGGGCATTGATGTTTGCAACACTTGCACCCGCATCAACATTTCCGTACCAAATTTCATCTAACTCGGGATCAATGCGAGCAACAATGCCATCGGGCACATCAAGGGAGGCTTTACCGGCCTTTGAGCACACCCATGCGCTTCTTTTCCAAACAGGCTGAGCTGACAGAAAAGCGACAGAGTCGGCAGTCCCTCTGCTCTGAGTGCCTGGTTCGCAGCTATGACCTCGGCTTCAGTTGAGCTTGTAGCGGTCGCTGTCTGCTTCCTACTGAAAGCATTCCGTGGATAGTATGTGTTTGGTCCTACAAGTATCATGGTGCAACCAGTTGTACTATGTGA